GGTCATCCGGAGGTCTTAAAACAAGTGGCAAGCTGCCATAAAATTTATATGCTCGTATGTACACATTTAATCCCCATATGCAAATTTTCTTATGCGGGCTCAGTTTTCCATATACCATAAACTTTGGTATTACCCACATGTGGATTTTCCTCTGCTAACTTTAGAGATTTTGCAACCCACAAAATGTAGAGGCGGCCATCAATTCGAGACGCTGTGACCTTTGCCAATGCTTGTCAAACTATTCGCAGCATGATGGATTGGAGTAACCGCAAATGAATGGCACATTAATTTGCATTTAAATGTGCCAAAAATATTTCTCGCCATTCTCAGCATGTCATTGACTAATGAGCAAAGCCGCCGAAAATATTGTAAATTACAAACAGCAAAAACGAAAACGTTTTTGCAACTGCAGGAAACATAAATAACAAGTCCCAGACGAAATAGATTGCAGTGGTGCTTTGCTATTTGCTATAGGCACAGCAGCGGCAACTTGGATATGAAAAATATGAAAAACATTTTGCAAATGTCACATTCGCATGGCTATGGAAACCGATCTGAGAGAAAAATATCTGGCGCACCCTATTGGAAGCACCAATTTGTGCTATATATTTTTTTTGAACCAGGCGTTGGCGGTATTTTATTGGAGTTTGTTCGTAAACATCATGTTTTATCGCCAACAACGCATAATTTATTTTTTTAGGTTTTTGTTTATTTAAATTACTGAAAAGATTAAATAATCTTTTTTAATATATTAAAATGGTTTTTAAATTAAATTGAAGAGTATATTTAGATTGGGTTTGACACCTTTTTTGCTGAAAGCTTTTTGCGTGCGAATTTATGCACATTAGTTTTGTTGAGTTAAAAATGCAAATCGGCTTTCGGCACATCATTTGAAGACTCTTTGATTCATAATGCTTGCAAATTATTTGTGCAAACAGTTTGCCCCACGATTGCAAATCAAGTGATTTTTTTATTTTGTTTCGTTTTATTACTTTTTTTGTCGGTTGTGCCTAAAGATCTTTTATTGCCATTTTTCTTGTCTACACGATCGTTTATATGGAATAGTTTGAAGTGAGATAAGAGGAAGTATTACCATTTACATGTTTTGAAATACGAATGAGATTTTTATGAGGCATTTAAAGGAAATCTTTATTACTACAACATGACTTGTAATTTCCCGGATTTATTACCGTTCCTTTCGGCACTTTGATCGATTTGTGAACATTTGGCAGAAACTACGAAAGTATCCGACAAATTTTGTTAGTTTTTCTTAGTATTTTTAGAAGAAAAACTTCAAAAACATTTTTGTAAAGGCTTTATTAGTGGAGGTATACAAATGATAGGTATTGTTTATGTCTATTAATCAAACTTCCGTTTCCGTTCATTTGGTTAAACGATATAATAATCACACTGCCAGACACAATAATCTCCAACACGATATCCACATCTGGCCAACTCAATTCGCAATGAAGTCAACTAAGCCAACACGGCTCAGATATTTATAAATTGCATACGAGATCGAGCTTAATGTGGCCACTTTAAGAGACGCCGCCACTTATCGAGCGCCGTTGATCCGAACACCAACAGCAAGACACTCGGAAGCCATTTATTATAACAAACAAAATGCTATAATTAATTTTTCTATTATTTTCTCAAATACACCCAGCCATTACCAAGGAGGCGGTGGTGTAAGTGGGGCCAGAACGTGGCCAGTGAGGAGTCAAACACAATTTCCTGGCCAACTTAATACTCGATTAATTTACGACGGGCACGAAAACAATTGAGGTGGCCATTTCGGAGAGGAGGCGGCCGTGGATTGAGACTATTATGACGTGCCGGGCCGAGTTCGATCAAAGAAAGCATAAATAATGTCCCGACAGCCGGCCGAGGAGTAGAACTGGTTCAGGATTTTGTTGCTGTGTCTTCCGCTGGTGGCCCGGGCCCGAAATTTATGCAAACGGGTTAATTAACTAAGGCTGAAAAGGAGGAGGAAAAAATAACGAAATTCGGAACGGCTGTTAGGAGGCAGACTTCAGCCGGGTGGTCCTCCCCATCCCACACCCCTCCTCCTTCAATTACTCTCTCCTCCGCTTTAAATGTGGGTCAACAGTGGGCGGTTAACAAGGCAACAAAAGCCAACTAACTGCATTTGTATCCATCATTTTGGACATTTCAAATGTCAATCTATATATATAGAAGTCGTTGGCAAGTCAGTTGGTCAGTGAGTCAATCACTCAATTGAATGCAACTCATTCACTCATTCATTCGTTCATTGATTCATTTATTTATGCAGTCAGTCAGCCAGCGTGTTGCCAACAGATTTTTATCGCAGTTGCCTACAGACGCTTAATTGCCTTTTGATTACTTGTGGAAATATCACAATTCAATCGGTAAAACATACGTTTATTGATATGCTCTTTTGCACACCGAGGGAATTATTAGTAATTTTTACAGACGTTTGGTATTTACGTTCAATTTAATCTACCAACGTTATTTTTTATTTTTTACAATTTCAATTTAATTTTAAATAATATTTCCTACGTTTCAAACCTTCAAACTGTTTATAAAGATAATAAATTAAGTGTATTTGTTATTTCTTGTTTCCATATATTTTTTCTTTTTGATCCTTCTTGTGTTGATTTGAAATTTATGATAATTGATTGCCATCTATCGGTACTCTGTTTTTATTACTATTCACGGCAAGCATGCATTGCGCATACGCAACGTTGTCCCACAGTTCAGTGAGCGAACCCAAAAATCATTTAATCAATATTTTGTCGTGTCGAGAGTAACATAAGGTATGTTGCCAACAAAACACGTGCTCCAAATTAAAGCGCAACAAGTGAGCTTAGAGCACTTACATTTTTCTGCAATTCGTCCACTCTTTTATTTTTGGTTAGTGCTCAAAGGCAAGAGATTTTGCAATTAAACTGTCAATTCGTTGGTATTTTCAGAATTATTAGTATTTGATTGTTAATTTATTACATTGCATTTGATTTGTGACCGCGTTGAATGGCCAGACAACTTGAGTATTGGTAGTCACATTGTGTATACGCCGTGTTTTGCAGTGGAAATAACATGCCCCAAGGCCACTGTCGAAGCAAGACTAATGATAAAAGCTTGATTTGATGTTTTGACGATTAGATACGAAACTGTAAGAAGAAATAGGGATAAGGCTCAATCATCCGCCAATTTTAAACGCCATTCCCAGCAGCAGACAAGGCAATCTATCAATCCCAAAACTGTTCCGCCCATGCAAATGTGAAGTGGAACCCTCAAATTTTACGCACATTCAAGTCGAAAACCGTTAAACGAACGGAAGTACTCTTAAGACGGCCCACACACGAGATCTCTGACCACCGGACGACCAGTCTAGCGATCGGCAGCCAGAAAAGCGAGATATAACTTGAGAGGAAAAAAATGAAAACAGAAAACAAACAAAACGTGCTCATTAATAAAAAATCAAAAACAACAAAAAACAAAATTGTCAATAAAACCAAAGGCCCGAGAGACTAACAACCGAACAGAAAAAGACTCAAGACCCACGCAATAAATCTCCAGTGGGTGTGCAAGTGACTCTCAAACTGTGGCATGACAAACGCATTTTCAACTAAAGCACCAACCAAAAACGATGAAGGAGCAGGCGAAGAGTCGTGATTCTCATTGTAAACTTTAATGACATCATTTGCCAAGGCAAAACAAATCTGAATGGCGTCAGTTGATTGAACTTTTTATTGGTGGCTACGTCTGAAGGAGTCCGTCGTAGGCCTTTCTCTCGCCACTCATTTCATTCATGAAAATGCAAATCCCCTGAACGCTGGCAAGCACTTGACAGCTGCACTATAGTCAGTCTTCAGTCTTCAAGTCTCGACCATATGCCAAGTGCCTTAAGGCGCAGCTTCCTTCTCCCCCCGCCCGAAACAATCTTCAGAGACCACGGAGCAGTTTTGGAGTGGATCTACTATCACCTCTCCTATCGTGTCGCGTGCTAGGCTTGTTCATATTTCCATACTTACATTGGCAATACCCTATGATTGGGTCAAAGTATGTTTGCAGCCAGCTTTATAAGAATTTAAAGTTGCACCAAATGTTATTTTTTCTCAAATCTTAAATTTTGCCTAATCGCCTAACACTCTTTTTAACAACGCGTTTAAATATTTACGTTTGTTTACTTATTATATCAATATTAATTTCAAATTTATTTAAAGTACTTCCTTCAATAGATTTTAAAGCGAATTAGAGCACCAAAGATTCGTCGTTTTAGTAACGCAACTCTCTTCCAATTTGGATTGCACTTTTTGCCTATATTTTAGCCTTATTTTTTTTATAGATCGTGCAATCAATTTGAAAAGTGTTTTCGCGTTGGTTTTACCGGATTTATGAATGAATTTATTTTCGTATATACCTCCTGCCTGTCCACATACTCATGTGCTTGGCAGACTTGTCTGGCTTGTTCCGACGTCGTCGTCTCCCACAGCTTTTTTTCGGGGTCCAACGTCCGCTGAGTCCGTCGTCGCATTTGTCGTTTGTCGCCCGAATAGGAAACTCTATGCAAATGTGGGCGGACTTTAAGGCTCTGCCTACGCGCAACCCACAAACCCACCGACTGGCTAGCGGGTCTGGTGGGTCTAGTGGGTCTAGTGGAGCTAGTGGCTCTGTGCGCACCACTTGGTGGCTGTTTAGGTGCAGTTAGTTGGCTGCCACTGACAATGACGTAGCTGTGGCCCAGTAACCCAAGACGGGGAAAGCTGACAGGAACGGTATTAAATGTTACAATCGAACATCGACATTGATTCATTGATTAAATCCCGATTTTGATAAATAAATCTTTCGTATTTTTCTTTTTAATAAGAAAGTAAAAGTTATCAAGTGTTTGTTAATTAAAAAATTACAAATTAGTCGAGTGCTATGATCTGTTTTCTGTTATCCAATACAGACATCCACCAATATCATATATACCACTCATACTAACAATATATGCGTCTTTTCTTTCCTTCCAGAATGCCACTGCAGTAGTGTGGGATCCTTATCTTCGGATTGTGATAAGCGATCAGGACAATGCGCCTGTCTGGCCAATGTGACCGGAAGGAGATGCGACAAGTGCCGCCCGGGTCACTGGAACCTTACCCAGGGTGAGGGATGTCGGGACTGTCGTTGCGATCCGCACGGGTCGCGTGGTCACGAGTGCAACCCGTGGACGGGCCAGTGCGACTGCAAGATCGGGGTCGGAGGTCAGCACTGCAACGAGTGCACCGAGGGCTTCTTCGGCTTCAGCACCGAGGGCTGCCAGCGCTGCACGGCCTGCAGGTCGGAGGGTCAGGTGTGCGATCCGCACAATGGCCGCTGCATCTGTCCGAAGTTCACCCGTGGCCTGGCATGTGGACAGTGTGTTCCGGGCACATGGGGCTGGCAGGCTCGCCTGGGTTGCCGGGAATGCCAGTGCGATCACATTGGCTCCATTGGCCAGCAGTGTGCCACCGCCGATGGACAGTGCCAGTGCCGTGAGGGATATTCGGGAAGGAACTGCGACACCTGCGCCATTGGCTACTTTGGCTATCCGGAGTGCCGTCGATGCGGCTGCGATCCGGAGGGTTCCTTCACCCAGTCAGATGGCTCCATTGCCTGCGACTCGAATGGCCAGTGCCCTTGCAAATCCCTCGTGGTGGGTCTCAAATGCGACACCTGCATGCAAAGTACTTTCGGATTGTCCGCACAAAATCCCGAGGGCTGCACCCGCTGCTTCTGCTTTGGTCGATCCGGTGAGTGCGAGCAGAGCGATCTGTCCTGGGGCCACATCCGCATGGCTGAGGCTAGGAATCTCAGCATCCAGCAGATTAGACCCCAGAACGTACCCAGTGCGGACTACGAGTACATTGTGGTGGTCCAGATGGAGGGCAGCAGCTTTCATCGCGAGGATGCCGAGATCCAGCGCATGAATGATCTGAGCTTAGTGCCCAAATCCACCGGGAACGTCTCCATCGGAGCATATGGACAGTTCTACCACCCGCTGTATTTCCAACTGCCCCCGCAGTTCTACGGAGATCGGACCACCAGCTATGGTGGCTTCCTGTACTTCACGCTGATCACCGAGGGTGCCCACAAGCCCTTGGAGCGAAATGTTCTGGGTCAGTACCCACTGGTGCAGTTGCATGCCCACTCCAAGTTGCTGCTAGACTTTTACGAGTACGAGGAGTACGAGTACTCCTTGAACGTTACCCATCGCGTACCGCTGCATGAGTCCTTCTGGAAGTACCACCACACAAGTCAGGCTGTGGATCGAAATACCCTAATGGCCGCCCTCCAGAACATTCGCCACATATTCATCCGAGCCTTCGCGTTTGCCGATTTCCAGGAAGTTGTGTGAGTATTCTGTATTTTATATAATATTCTCTAAAAAAAATGTGTTAAGACACATCTCTTTGCTAAATGGGGTCATCCCAAAACGATCATGGATTATCACATATCTTTTCAAAGTTAAATCGTAAAATATCTATTATTTATAATTTAGGCTAAAGCAAGAAAGCCTTTTACGATTTATAATATCGGAATCCTTTATGTCCTTTTTTAGCCTCCAGAATGTGCACATGGATGCGGCTATCTATATTAAGGGTTCTACCAATCTCATAGCCAAAGGTGTTGAGCGTTGTAGATGTCCGAAGCGTTTTGATGGTTTGTCTTGCCAGGATCCGGGAAGATCATTCTACCGTTGGCGCAATACCACCGTTGTGGAGAGTGTGTTCATTGAGGATCTGATAGGAAGATCAGCTCCCTGTCATTGCAATGGCCGCAGCAACGATTGTGACCGGGAAACTGGAGTCTGTCAGGTAACTACAACTTATTGGGTTGTCCAAGCTAAATTTTAATACGTTGTAATAATATTTCCCGCAGAACTGTCGTGGCAACAGCGGAGGAGATCACTGTCATCAATGTGCTGAGGGCTTCTACGGCGATCCTAACTCGCACCACGGCTGCCAGGCTTGTCCTTGTCCGGAGACGAACCGAAACTTCGCCCGAGGATGCAATGTTTGGGACGGAGAAGTCAGTTGTGTCTGCAAACAGGGTTACACAGGACGATTGTGTGAACGGTGCCAGCCGGGATATTTCGGGGATCCCATGAGGTATCCCAACAGTACTTGCCAGCCATGCAACTGCCATCCGGATGGCATCCGAGCACAGGGTTGCGATATGGAGACGGGACGATGCTTCTGCCGCGAGGGAGTCACCGGACTGAAGTGCAACAAGTGTCAGGCGGAACGACACCATCTGGTGGATAACGGATGCAAGAGTAAGTCAATGTTAAAATAAAATAATTAAATAGGTGTTAGGACTTGTCTGTAAAACTAAATTAATTAATTCCTATTTCTAATATCCTCCTCCCATAGTTTGCGACAATTGCACTCTGCTGCTCCTGGACTATGTGGAATTGGTTGGTCACAAGCTGCGGCGTGGAATGCACAACATGGATTTGACGGGTATTCCAGCACCATACCGCAAATTGTCAGAGTACGAAGATGCCTATGATGAGTGGAATCGACGCCACTGGGACTTTAGCCAGACCAAACGACGTCTTCAGAATTACGACACCGCTGACATCCTCAAGCTCGAGGCCCACGCCGAAAATCTTAAGTTTCAAACTCGCAAGGCAGTGGCCACCATAGGGAAGAGGGAATTCTCCCTCAAATCGATGACGGATGATGCGGTGGTCCAACAGAACGGTGTGAGCTTGGTCCGAGCGGAGATCCTTCAAACCATCTCGGATTTGCGTGGCTATGGGAAGAGTGCTCGCCATCTGAGCCTTCCAACGGCTCTGAAACAAGCTCGTTTCTACCTGCAGGCGATTCGGGAGCACGACCAACTGGTGCAGGGAATCCGCAGTACCAACGGCTGCGCCTGGCGGAACTTCTACGCCATGGGCAATGCCTCGGATGCGGCCTTCGACGAGAGTGGCCGCCTGGAGATGCTCTGGCGGGATCTGAACCAGACCAACCATCGAGTGGTGGACATGCGGCTGCAGGTGGACCGCATTGAGGAGGTGGAGAGCGAAGCAGAGGACGTCCTGGAGCATGTACGCAACCTAAATGTTTATGTGGGTGAATCTCACCAGGAGCTAAATGATCTTAACCAGCGGATTTCTGAACACCTTGATCCCGGCTATCTGGAGCAGGGTGAGGGCTTATTGAGGTTGACACTGCAGCGGCAAATGATGCTCAATGGACAACTTAACCAGTTGGATAGCTCGCGAGTTCTACTCAATGCCACGCTGGACGTAAAGTCTGAGCAGCAGCGGGAGGTTCGCAAGCATTGGCTGCCCAAGGCGGAGAAGCAAGCGAATCACCTGCTGGCACGATCCAACGATTACGCCCGCCAGTTCCAGCCCACCAGGAATGGTGCCCGGATTGCCATGCTGGCCAGTTCGGCCCACAGCAATATAACCAAGGCCATAAACGATGCGCGGCAAGCTTCGATCCTGGCCAAGGAGCGGGTGTACGAGGCCCAAAGGACCCTCTATCCCAACGACGGCAGCTCAATGATCGATCGAGCTAAGCACTCGCTGCACAGATCACGACAACTCCAGCAAGAAGCCCTTAAACAGATGCACAAATCAAATGTGCTGAAGGACAAACTTCATCGGCAGGAGCAGCAGGTGGAGGGCATTAAGGCCACCATCTTTGACTCCGGACGGCGCATTAACAACATAACCGGACATCTGCAAGGCCTCTCGGAGGGATCAGCCCGCCGGCAGGCCAAGGAGAGTCTAGATTTGGCCGAAAGAACGGGTGAGGAAATGCAAGCAGAACTACGAATAGCCAAGGAGATGCAGGAATCCATTCAGAACATGCGCAAATCGTTCTCCAACCTGGAACCCGACTGGGAAATCAAACTAGGCATGGCCCAAGAGAACATATCCCTGACCCAGACCAACGTGCGGCTGGCCAACGTCTCTTTGAGCTATCTGGAGCAGCAGGCCGAAAAAGAGCAACAGGTGTTCGAGGACTGGAACAACACCATGGCCCAGCAGCTGCAGCAGCTCAGGGATCAGATTGCCAAGTCCAGACATGCGGCAGAAGCGGTAATAGATTCAAAGTCTCTATTTTGTTAAATATTTTATTATAAATCCCTCCTACAGATCGATGTCTCCCTGGAGTCCCTGGGTCCGAAATGCAGTCGATCTTACCTACCGGCCTCGTATGGTTTGAGTACCTCGAATAAGCTCCGTATGAGCTTTGCTTTATCCAATCATCTCGAGAGTTCGCCTCTGATTCACTTGGAAAGCAGCGAGGGGCGTCACATCACGCTGGAGCTTCACAAGCGTCGAGTACGCCTGGTGTGGAATCTTGGTGGCACCACCGCCACCGTGACGCATCCCATGGTGGTGCAGACACGGGATCCCAAGTACGATGATGCCTGGTACCATGTGGAGGCCAATAGGACACTCAATCTGGGCAGTTTGATGGTGCGTCGAATGAACAACTACGGTGAGCTAACACCCGCCAATCCTGTAACCATCACGGGATCCACGGATACGGAACACACACGTTTCTATCAGTCACGAAGCGATCGGATATCGCTGGGCGGTTTTGCATCAAAGGATCTGCAATTCACTCCGGGACTCAATGTGGTGGTGCACCAGGTGGAGGTGGACAATAAGCCTCTGGGTCTGTGGAACTTTGTGAAGAGCGAGGGCAGCTGCGGCGGATCCATGGTTGGAGCCAAGGAGTCCTCCGCCTCATCCACTGCTCGTCACTTCAATGGATTGGGCTATGCCCAGCTGATGAAGACCCGTCCGCGACCCACTCGCAAAAATCTTTTCTCTGTGCAGATAACCTTCCGTACGCTGGATGAGAATGCCTTGCTTTTCTTAGCGGTTGATGACAAAAACGTGAGTCAAATTACCCCACACAATGGTCTATTTAAATTATTTAAACTCTTATAATTCCATTGTAGAACCGCTCGGTGTCGGTAACTTTGAGCCGAGGTCGGATCATGTTCCGCATCGACTATGGCGACGAGTCCAAGTTGGAAATCAACACCACCAAGAAGTACAATGTGGGCCAGTGGATCAAGATCGAGGCTGCGCGCGAGTTCTCTGCCAAGCGTAGTACTGAAAATGGAATGCTGCGGGTAAACAATGATCGTCCCATTTCCGGAGCACCCACACTACCCGTAAACATTCACTTGCTGCCGGATCTTTCCAAGGCGGTCTACTATTTGGGAGGTGTACCACCAGGTAATGATTTCACTTTAATTTAAATATTAGCAGCTATTTTTAAGTCAATTTCTTCTAACAGGTTTCACTTCGGGTACCAGCAAAGCCCCTGGAGCTGATAATCCCTTCCTGGGATGCATGAAGGATGTCCAGGTGAATGGTGAGACCTACGATCCCCTGGAAAGTTCCAGCTTTTATGGGGTGGAGCCTTCCTGCAAGGACATGATCACCAAGTGAGTAGAGAACTTAATAGTCATTAGAAGTATTTTCTATAAACCAAATTCTTTGCAGGGCTGGTTTCTCAGGCAATGGTTATTTGGAGCTACCATCGCAGTCGCTCCGAAAGCGGTCCAATACCGCTTTGGTGTTCCGTACCCTTCAGCCCGATTGCCTTCTACTCCTGGCCGCCTATCCCCCTGAGATCCTGGCCGACTACGATGCGAAGGACATTAAGGGCAACTTCTCGATCAGCCTGGTGGATGGCCAGCTGCATGTTTGGGTCAACTCCGGTCGCAGCTTCATTAAGATGTCTTCGAACTCCAGTCAGTTTAATGATGGCGAGTTCCATGTGGTAAATGTGATCAAGACGGGTCGCAAACTGGAGCTGATGGTGGACGATGAGCTGCAGGAGACTCGCAGCTTGAACGGTAATCCCACGGTGGTTAGTCTGCCTAGGGACACAGGTGGCCTTTATATAGGAGGAGCACCGCCCCACGAGAGCTACACGCCTTTGGCGCCAACCTTTGTTAATCTGGAGGGAGCCATCCGCGATGTGGTGTTCAACAACCGAACAATGAACTTTAACGACGCCTTGACCTTCGCCAATGTTCAGATCGGACGCAATGGTCCTCTAATGGGCAGTCTCAAAGGAGGACTCTACGATGTCCTGCTCAAAACGGAACCTATGATTGGAAAGAGTTTCACAGCCTCGCCTGAGGGCTGCAAGCGGGTAAGTCACTAAAGTTTCTCTACTTCTTGGATTGGTTTGGATGGGGTTGAAGATATTAATGGGTGCTGTCCATCATCTACTGCATGTAAATATGTGGCTGCCTAACTCTGTTAAACTCAAACGTTTCTTTTTGTTCTTATAGGATTTTAGTTGCTAAGCAATTATGTCAAAAGCGGCTACGCTAAAAGCTTCAAGCGCTGCGCTTCAAGAAAGCTCATTTGTATACTAATTTCGCCTAAAACAAAAAGCAAAAGCTAACCAAACAAGCTACTCTATGTGGTCTACATGTGGATTAATATAACCAATCATCATCAAAGATATAACCTCAGTTCATGCCTAAAAAGCATTGGGAAAGTGGGCCCATTAGAGCATGATCCTAAACAGAGATTTCCTGTGAAGGACATTTCGCTCTTGTGGGCAGACTGATTTAGCTTTAAGCTAGCGATCGTTTTAAGCTCTCGGGCTCCTCCTGGTCCTCAGATAACAAAACCATATTCTTAGTTAATAATTATCTTTTTATACACATTTGCTATTATGTAAATATTTCATACGACTCTTCTGCTATTTAATAAGCTTCAAAGATCAATTTAGAGCGTAAGATTCACCATACTCAAATCATACACATCACTCATCAACGCTTTGTGTACGTTTTTGCCTTCATGAATGTATCATACAATTAACATTTGCTTACTGCAACATGGACATTTAATTGTTATCACATTTACCTAAATAAAACATTTTATAACAAAAAACAAACAAAATCATGGCAAAGTTTTTACTTTTTTAACTCACAATCGCTGAGATCGCTACGCAAAAGCTCAGAAACTAACACAAAGTCGTCGGGGTGAGTTGAGTTCCACTAGGAAACACAATAGACCTGGTCATAATCGGGTTGCTCTCTTGCAGATCGGCAGTTACTCCTACGAGCCGAACGCCTTTAAATTCGGAGACGATATCTACAGCTATTCCCAGCTGAAGCTGCCGGAGCGTCACTTCTGGCAACGCAACTTCCATCTGAGCTTCGACTTCCGCTCCTTCTATCCGAATGGCATGCTTTATCTATCCCCGGGAAGCAAGGAGAAACCCAAGCACTATGTGGCCCTCATCCTAAAGGACGGACAACTAGTTCTTGTGGTGAGAGGTCGTCGTCGCGAGGAACTCCAGTTGACCGCCAAGTTGAACGATGGGGAATGGCACCGGGTGACGATTAATTGCCAGGATCGCAAGGTCACCATGTCCGTCGAAATCGGGCGTACCGACCAGAAGACATCCGCCCAAATGAAGCTGCCCAAGAAGATCGGTGCCTCCCAGTTGCTCCTGGTTGGCGGCTTGCCCCAGTCACCGGTGAAGGTCTCCTCGGATCTGTATGTCCGCCTGGAGCCATTCAAGGGCTGCCTCCGCCGGGTCAGCATAAACAACAACACCCAGGATCTGGCCCGACCCGGCAAACACTCCAATGTGGGTCAGTGCTTCCCAACGGTCGAGAGGGGCAGCTACTTCCCCGGCGATGCCTATGCCATTTACAGTGAGTATAGCTGCAAAGACAATTCTACAATATCAAATAACCCAATAAACCCTTTCTACAGAGAAAAACTTTAATGTGGGCAAGTACCTTGATCTGGAAACGGAGTTTAGAACTTCGGAACTATCGGGAATTCTGCTGAGTGTTTCCGATCCAAACGGATTCCCTGCCCTTTCGTTGGAACTGCATAATGGCAATGTAAGCTAAGCTGAATTCTATATAAGATTTATTTTACATGACACTTTAAAAAAGCATGGTCATTTATGACAAATGTATATTAATTTCATATTTTCCTTTGGTAGATAATATTCTCCTGCGATCTTGGCAACGGAGCTCCCCTACGAGTGGAATCGTCACTGCCCACAAAATATGCCTTGTGTGACAACAAATGGCACAATATTTCGGCCCTCTATGACGGTGAACAGATTGTATTGCGCATCGATCAGTTGCCAGCCGTGATCAGTGTGGGAAACCAGCGAAATGCAGGAAAGATGCAAACCCGGTCTCCACTTTACATAGGCGGTCTGCCAGGTATGCCTTAACAAAATCCCATAAAGGGAAACAATTGTGTTGGTTTTCCATTAGTTTCTTTATTAAATTAAAACAAGAAAGAGTTGGTGCGTGATAAAAAGAGATAAAAGAAAAATTTCTATGAAAACAATCATAAAAAAAAAAATTTTTAAGAAGTTTGAATTAATCTTTGTATTTCATTACAGAAACTGCTCCGAGTGGGTCACTGATGTCGCGGGAGAACTTCAAGGGCTGCATCCGGCACGTGTCCATCCGGAACGAGAGGCGTGACTGGATCGACATGGAGGATCTGAGGAACGTGCTCCTCAGCGAGTGCCTCGTGTCCAGTGATGACAGCTAAGGATGACTGTCCGACTTCCGGTTCCGCTTTCCGGGCGCTTCTGGTTCCTGTTGATGCCACACCAAAACTTTTTCCAAATGTATTGTGATCAATAACGAGTTTAGAGCCAGTTATTTATAGCCCTTCACTGCCATATAAGTTAGATTACTATAGCATTAGATTTGAATATTTGTATATTTGACTACAAAGTTTATTGCCAGTGACTGCATTTTGTACTTCGCAATCTGATTCATAATTTATTTCGCCTATTTATAGAGTTTATTATTTTGTCCATTATTTATTTTATGTTATAAAGAGGCTTTAAGTTTGTATTTCATTTTGCATACAACTTACTAAAAATTTGTTTTACGAATCTCCTGTTTGTACAGTGCGCAACGAAAATTTACTTAAGTAGCAATAACTTCCATTATTTTCATTTGTAAATAGAAATGCCATTTAGTTTGTATTCATCATAGCACATACATACATGTATTATTCCCATCTTAATAAATTAAATAAAAACCTATTATTTTAGTAAAACTTTAATATTGAGCCCATAATCCGTACCAAAATATGGAAATAATTACGTTAATGATAAAGCGATACAAAATTTGGACTAAAATTATAAACATCCTCTGAAATGGTATACAAATTCATAAAGCCTTTGAATTAAAATCCTATATTTTTTGCAAGTCTGTATCCAAGTTTTGGTGCAGCATTTTTTCTGTGAGTTTACTTTCACCAACTGGGATCACAATTTTCTAGTTTCCCCATACAAGCATTACATACATATTTTCTAACCCACACGATGAGTGTGATCAAATCCGTGAGGGGCAGCCGTCGGACCCGAAGATCCACAGCTTCCGCGTTCGATCCCGGTCCCTACATCTACTGTGTTAACTTCTACGACAATGGACTGAGTGCGGTGCGGGATGAGTTCGTGAAGCGGGTGGTCAGCGGCTCTCGTCGGGCTGTTTTCGTCATCGACATGGACAAGGAAATTTTGGAGGCCAACTTTCAGAACGAGCGAAAGTCAAAAGCCATAAAAAATAGTAAGTTTGTGTTAGGCTTATTTTATGAGGTACTCAAAAATGTCGTACAGGGGAATCGGCGAGTCTAAAGCCCTTGGATCCGTTGAGCATTGTTCTGCGATGCATTCAGAACTGTGTCGACGAGTTCGACAAGATAACCAAGAAGATTGAGCTGGAGGCCAACTTCGATCTGCACGCCTACTGGCAACGTAATATTCCCGCAATGCTTAAGAATCTATCGCCAGCGGGGGGTAAAAAAAAGGGTGCCACCGACAGCAAGGGTGGTGCAAATACAGCCAAGCCCAAAACGGGGAAGTCCTCCAGCGACAAGGCGCGTCTGGAAAAGATCCGCTGCACGTCCGTCACCGCAAAGGAGCATCACAAAGTTGGCAAGGGGCTGCCGGCATCCAAGTGTGAGGTAAGTTATGAAATCAAATCTATTTCCTCTTCCTATAATATCTGCCAAAAATACTTTGAGATATGGATAATTTCTTAAATTAAATTAAAATAATAAATTACCTTATTATTTAAGACCGGCTACTATCATTATTCGTTATTTTGGTCACTATTCCTAAATCTTCTTTTATCTTCAATTCCTTGACTTATGTTTTCCTTCCAACGTATGGTATACGCAATATACAGTTTGTAAGAAAATCACTCCTCAGACTATTTTATTTAAAATGAATGGGTATTCCATTCCATTAGCTTAAATTTTTTCTAACTGAAATCATTGCCTTTCAGTACATTAGAGACAATCCGCTATTCACCAAAATACTGATCCTGATCATTGGTCAAATGGATAACCATTTCTACAAGAAGCTGCTGGCCTACGATCAGCCGCTGCGAGCGATCATCCACTTTATGCCACAGGAGAGTGCCTACGATCTCTTGGTGCCCCGACCTCGACGCGAACAGAAACTCCAGGAGGCACTGGCTGCCATCCAGCAGGATATCCACTCGCTGCGCAAGCGGACTCCCTTGAAGCCGGTGGGCATCTTCCAGCAACAGTTGCCCCAGATGTCCTCCTGCATGGCGGCCAAATTCACCGATGATGTCTTCGATCAGCTGAGCTGGTACATGTACGATGTGGAAACACTTCGGGAGTGGTACCGCATGTACTACGTGGAACCATATAGGGAGATTAACGTTAAGATGGATCCCTCGCTGTCATTGCAGGAGACTTTCCACATCGTCGAGTCACTGAGCATCCAGGGGCACTACCTCAAGGCCCAGATGCCGGCATCTCGGGCCGATGATGCCACCGTCTATCTGTACATGGAGTCGCTAATGAGCACTTTCGGCAATCCCAAAGAGCTGATGACCGAAACGGAGGTCCTGCTCCTGGCCAATCCCACGCCATCGGTTCAAACTCGAGTGCTGGACAAGGTGAAGGTCTATGCGAACTCTTTTAAGAGCATCGTAAAGCTGAACAAGAACGACCGCTTATTCGTGGAGCAGGCCAATGGGCTACTGTCCAATATAATGTCCTACATGGACCAGTCTCTGATGAGGAACGTATATCACGCCTGTCTGGAGTACAATCTATTACGGCGCTACTTCACTTCCGGCTATATCAATCACTCGCTGGCAAGGCAGACGTACAATGGCGCCCTGGAACCGATCTATCTGCCCAAATACGCCGAGCTTTACCTCACGGACGACTCGGTGATGCAGCGGATAATTCAGCTGGTTAAGGACTACGATGACTTCAGCGTGGAGGAGGTGCAGCCCAATGTACATCTTTACACGTTTCGACGCTCCCTGAACGAGGTCTTCGAAGAGGAGAAACAAACTGTGATCCCCACACGTCTTTGCTTTAGGGACTTTACCCTGTACGAAATGAATTGTAAGTTGTAATTTATCAACTTAAGATTTATATAAACTTTAATACATTTCTTTTCTTTTGCAGATTTCCTTCAGGACTTGGTCACGCCGCAAAAGTTCGCCGAGATCACCGAAAGTTATATGTCACGCGAGACGCAGAGTGCCGAAATCATTTCTGGTTTTGACCCAATGATGGTCAAGTGCAATGAGGACAACGATCGGGTCGCCATCGATCCCAAAGTCTTTGTTCGACCAAACTCGATCAAGGGACAGCAGGCCAAGAAGAAGGAAAAGAAGGATCAGGATGATTCGCGGTCCGTTACCCGCAAAACTTCCCTAATTCCAGACGAACTAGTAACAGCAAGATTCAGGCGACAATCTGCAAAGTCGGTTCAATCTGAAACCCGGCGAGTAACAGCTTCCATGTTGCAGCCGAAGATATCCGGATTCGACTCAAAACAGGGATCACACCATTTCATAGGACTCCGTCCAAACCATCCCATGCTGGAAGGTTATAACTTGGACGACACCCTTCAGACCATCAAGTCCAAGACATCAAAGTACTTCTTTGAGGAGGGTCGTATCATGCTCTATGAGGAGAGGTGGAACTTCCGCCAGATGAACAAATGCCTGGCCCTCGAGATTGGCGGCCAGGAGGTGCATTTCCGGAGTGCAGGCGATCCACTGGGAGTCACAGCCACGGATTCCAGTGTGAGGATCGAGTCGAAGAACGGAATCAGTGTCCGAGTGATGCCTAAAGAAAGCGAGTGCGCCAAGGCAGTCCTAAACTTCCCCAACGGTCTGAGCACCTTCTGCCACGACACTCATACGGAACACCATTGGCAATATCAGGTATGATTAATACCCCATCTAAAATTTAATGAAAAAAGCATATTTTAAAGTGATTAAAAACGTCTATATATTCACTATCCTATAAAGTAAGTCTAAATGGATAAAGAGATGAGCTGCAGTCGAACTTTCATAACTTCGAACTTGCTTATTTCAATTGGTTCAATGTCGACTATATATGAAACAAGCTTATCTTCATTATCCATTTAGATATTATAGATACAATTTGGAATATATACTATGCAGTCTTTTTGAACTAGCTAAAAATATAATTTATAAATTAATACATTATCCCGATCTCCCAGCAAAATGACCTAAATGAAACCCGGCGTGTCTGCACTCCTTATGGGTGTGTGATTGTGTTCTACCAGAGCACCGACACCATAGTGATCATGCGGTACAACGGCGAGGTGTATCACCTGTATAGCTTTACGGGTGCTGACAACGAGGAGGAGGAGGAAATGAACTCGGAGTTCATCAACGCCTGCTCCACGCAGTCCACCTACTCCAGCTACAAGCCCCTCCGCGAACCCAAGAGGAGGGACAGGAGTCGGGATGGGTCGTCCCAGAAGCGTTCGACCATGCGCAGTGTGGGCGGACTGGACATCAACCTGCGGCCATCGGCCCTGAGCAGTGGCTCCAAGAAAAGTCTGCCCTCCAAAGCATCCACTTTGGGTGGACGGAGGAGCCAACTGCTCAAGAATCAACAGGCTGCCGCCTTGTTTGAAAGCATTAAGTTCGAGCTAAACTACCTCAATTTCATCATGGCCCTGTATAAGCTGAGCTATCGCTACCTCAAGTTGACCACTTCGCTGGGCAGTGTAGTAAATGTGCAACGCGATGGGAAGATCTGGTGCGGCAAGCCCTTCCGGAACACCGAGTGGCATGATTATTATGCCGATGAGTCCTACTCCATGCGGGACGATGGTGTCAAGATGATCTGGACGGCGGAGGAGCTGCGGTGCTACCACAACGACGGCACTGTCATCACTTCGGGCACTGGCATAGGTTGGGATCCCGGCACGGATGTCGACGAGATCGACATTGAAATCAGTTCGAGCAGCTCTCATGCCAATGCGGATAGGGATAGCTTCCAAAGGCTCCGAAAGGTTGTATAATTAAGTTAAATGATCAGTCTTATTTAAGATTTACTAATTATTTTATCACAATTACGATTAGTTTATCTTCTGTTCTTGAAAAACCATAAATACTCTATTAAAACCATTTGATTTCGTATAATTTGTCTGGTCAGAACAGTTTTTTATTTATAAACGATCAAATTATTTAAAGCTTATATCACCAATTCCTTTTGACAGGAAACTATGTTCATCAATGCACCAGATGGCTTGCCGTTTAGCGATGTCACTTCGGAAGTTGAGTCTCGAAGTCTCAGTGTGATTATTAAAAATATATCTGTGAAGAGCGACTTAATGGTGGAAGAGGAGGAAGGAGAGATTATCCATGATAAAAGCTACATCACTTACGTGCCAAACAGTTACTTTATAAACCACAAAGTCTATGCCGGGATCCACTTCACTTTCAGCCACATAACCGATGTGGATCTAAATCTTGAGACCTCGATCTTCACCTGCGACGACCTGAAAGTTCGGGTGTTTAAGGATCCTATATCGACTGGGGATCGGCAGTCAGAACCACAAACGGAGACTCCATCATCTGAAGCGGATTCAGATGAGTGGACAAAAACCAAAATACGGAAGCCGTCCGAGGTGCCGACACTAGATCCAACTTCAGACATAACACCCTCCAGTGGGGAAGAACAGTCAACGGATAACTCGGAAATCATTGTTCCCACCTGTGTGGAGGTGGAGTGCAACAACCTGGTTTTAATTACGTTTGATGATCGTGTCTCAATACAAACCCACCTGCGGAAGTTTGGATGCGACGAGAATGCAAAGTGCGACTTACAAGTGCGGTGAGCTTAAAATTTCCTTTATCAAATGATTAAAAATTTAAAACTATAATTAGTGAAATACTTTAAAGTTAATAATACGTTCCTCAAAACTACAACTTGATCTCTATCCAGTGACGATATCGAATTGAATGTTTATTTTGCCGAGAGCCTGTCAACAACTTTTCGGAATTGGGTAGACGAACTTACCAGTTTCATCAACTGTTTCTGCCCCAAGCGACGCACCTTGTATTTCCTGGAAACCCAAAGCCTACAGTGCCAAAGAAAAGGTATATTAAATATTAGTTATCTATTCAGCACGATTTTAATGACATTTTTAAAGGGTTCGAGCTGATGAAATCGGTGCCGCCTCTGGGAAAATACAACTTCTGTGCTGGCAACTACTTTATCGATGTGAACGAGCTGAGGTCAGTCAATAGCCAAATGAAAAATGAGTATGAGTGGTTCGACAAGGATATGGAAAAGTTTCCCCGCTTCCAACTTTACAAGAAACCACCGCAAGAACCCGATTTTCCCATGGTTCTGAATGCTAGGTATCGAATAGGAGTTTAAAAGATAGTAATATATATTTATTAAGATGTATCAACCTTAGAATATTTGTGGAGATACCAGCACAACTAGCGAATACGGATCGGATACACCAGTTCGTTTCGGAGTTTGACTCGATTAAGTTTAGGAAACAACGCTATCGCTTCAATGAGTGAGTTGTAAATCACCTTTTTTTTAAAAGGTTTTTTAAAAAATATTTTTATCTATTGCAGATCTGTTCTTTTCCATCTGCATCCACGATTACGCCTGCTGGTTCAGCAGGAGATTAGCAAACGTAGCTGGAAGAATCACCATGACGAGCACCTTCGTCGCATGTTCATAGAGCAACAGCGCCTCAGCCTCTACATGGCCATGCTGAAGCACAAGGTGTATCCCAACTACTTCCAGTTCAAGGACCAGTTCAACTCCCACGTCCGCAACATCGAGTTCTTCCAGTTCATGACATCCAAGTGCAACGAGAAGATCCAACCCGAGGAGCCCATTGTTGATCCCGCGGATGAGCCAGCTCCACCGAGCAAAGTCAAAGGAAAGAAGAACAAATGTGTCTGTCCCAAATACCTGAAATCTTTGGATTAGAGTCAACAAATTTACAAAAGCTTTTTATAGATTAAAAATGAAAAACTGAAATCTATTCTGCAGGCTTACATTTATAAGAATGAAAATGTAATATTAAAAAGTGTAAAACTAAATCTGGTGTTCTGTATGTAGAAACATTTGGATTATTCTGGAAAAAGGTTTTACGCGAACATTTTTCAATTACCATTAATACTTTACTAATAAAAGTCTTGACCATTGTTATTTAACACGTAATACATAATTATCGTTTCAAATTTTAATTAATTTTAAGGTAAGGAATTTGAATGCTGTGGAAACATTTTTATACCCTTGCAGAGGTTTTAATAAATCTATAAATGATCGGCTTGGGCAGGGGAATGGGGTCCGGTATCTAAATGGCCAGTGAGGCGGCGGACTTCTCCTTGATCACCACTGACGCCTTGGCGGAGAAGGAGGAAGGGGCGTCGTGGCGCCACCTCCTCCCTCTCCGCCAAGGCGTCAGTGGTGATCAAGGAAAAGCCCCCCGTGGCACTGGCCATCCAGATACCGGACCCCATTCCCCTGCCCGAGCCGGCTCCCATTCCGGCCGTTCATGCGCTCGATGGCGCAGGCGCAGTCCTCGGGTCGGGCGTACTCCACGAAGGCGAAGACACGCCCAAGGCGACCATGGTAGCGGTCCACCGGAAAGTTGACGGCGGTGAGGACGACGCGACGCACCTTCCAGGAAGAGCGCTTAGAGGAGCGGCCGTGGGCGGGGCGATGGCGGCGGCTGCCATGCCCACGATGGCGGTGCGAGTGGCTCGAGGGATGGTGGTGGCGTCGATGGCGGTGATGGTGGCGATGGCGGCGGCTGGACTGCTTCGGACGATCCGGCTTCCTGATGGAGCCCTCCGGCTACTCATCGCTGTCGCTGGACGAGGAGCTGCTGGCGGTGGAGCTGGACTAGCTGGAGGATCTGGTCCCCTTCCCCTTGGGCATCCTGAACCTGATCTCTTGCACTTTTTCAGGTTTTCCGGAACTGCTGCTGAGTTGCTCACGCGTCGGGTGACTGCTGCCAAATGAAAATGGGGAAAAGCAAATGGCGGCAACTGTCTTCCTGGAAAATTCAAAGTGACCAAGAAAAGCTTCTAGATTGGAGGTGCCAGGCTGCTTACATCTGGATTGCCACCTAATAGTTGGGATATATACTATGTACATCTCTATGCTAATGAATTGCTGAATCGTTGAACAGGACTGTTCAATTGACTAAAAGCATTCTAATAGAAGTAAAAAGGTATCATCTGGTAACAATCCAATAGAAAATAGAAATAGGAATAGGAATTTTCTCAATACTTATTATTTATATAAGTAGTGGAAATATATTTAATAAATTAATTTCAAAAAATGTTTTTAAGGGGTTATATACCATTTTCATTCTCAAAAATTCGAAAAATTGTTTATTGCTTTATCTTAAAGAACAACTTCTTGAGAACAAATTTGAGCCCAAATTTATCCCAGCCCAAACACAAACTTGAAACTTTAAGCGCGAATATCTCGAAATGATTTTTTTTGAAAAATTACAAATTTCATAAGGATCGGCCGAGTATATCCTATAGCTGCCATATAACTGAACGATTGGAAATGCCATGACTTTGGTGTTTTTAAAGTTAGGAAGTTGGGATTTTTTATGAGTATTAAGAATGCCTCATTTGAATAATTTTGGAGAATATAATTTACAGAATATTCTGCAAGGGTATATCAACTTTGGCTCCGCCCGAACTTAGTTTTCCTTTCTTGTTTATTGTATTATTCTGTACTATTTTCATAGTTTCAAGTATTAATATTGTGGAAACTTTTTATTTCATTATTTCAAGTATTACTAACAATTTTTATTATACGAAATTCTTTAATAGTTTCAGTATTTCAAATGTACTCGACTATTTTCACCGTAAAAATGGTTGCTCAAAGTCTCACTGTCAATTTGAACTTGGCGCTCTGTCTGCTATTTCCCCAAGTTATCGATTGGAGCTACCCCAACATTTATCGTTTGGTGTTTTTGAGCCATCCCAATCCGGTCATATTAGGCTCCCTCAGATGTTGTTGTTTTTTCAGCTGCTCCGGTCGCGCGTTCGTGCTGCTCTCGAAATAATTCCGATATAGGCGAAATATGAATTAAAAAGATCTCCAGAGAATAGAGCATAGTTCTTCGAACCAAACACGCGATCATCGAAGTCGAACCAACGAAATGGCAGAGCCTGCAGCAGCGGAAACCAAAGTGTTGGGCAATGGGAGTGCGGGTGGCGGAAACGCCAATGGAATCGCAGCCGGAATCGCCGAGTCCGCCAGTGCCGTCTTCCAGGAGAAGATGAAGCTCCAGCTGGAGGAGGAGCCCAACGAGATCACGGCGGTGCCCAAGTACGGCCTGAAGCTAAAGTTCGACCATGTCTGGCCAGAGCGGAGGATTCAAAACGCCAGGGCCTCCATTAGGCAAACGCTTCCCCTGGTGCCCCTCGTCTGCAGGTGGGATATACATATGTGAAAAGATATAGACATAAATGGAGTAATTCCACAACTCCAAAATTTTCGTGCGTGCAGGGTACACAAAAATACAGTCAAACATCAAAAATGAAAATAATGATGCATTGAATGTTTTAATTTTTATACCCTTGCAGAGGGTATTATAATTTCAGTCAAAAGTTTGCAACGCAGTGAAGGAGACATTTCCGACCCTATAAAGTATATATATTCTTGATCAGCATCACCAGGAGAGTCGATCTAGCCATGTCCGTCTGTCCGTCCGTCTGTCCGTCTGTCCGTCTGTCCGTCTGTCCGTCCGTTTCTACGCAAACTAGTCCCTCAGTTTTAAAGCTATCTGCTTGAAACTTTCCCAAAAGTTGTATTTCTATTGCAGGTAGTATATAAGTCGGAACGAGCCGGATCGGGCCACTATATCATATAGCTGCCATATAACTGAACGATCGGAAAAGCCATAACTTTGGTGTTTTTAAAGTTAGGAAGTTGGGATTTTCTATGGGGTTTATTTTTGGCTAATCAATCCGACCTACCAAATTTCATAAGGATCGGACGACTATATCCTATAGCCGCCATATAACTGATTGATCGGAAAAGCCATAACTTTGGTGTTTTTAAAGTTAGGAAGTTGGGATTTTCTATGGGTTTTATTTTTGGCTAATCAATCCGACCTACCAAATTTCATAAGGATCGGCCGACTATATCCTATAGCCGCCATATAACTGATTGATCGGAAAAGCCATAACTTTGGTGTTTTTAAAGTTAGGAAGTTGGGATTTTCTATGGGTTTTATTTTTGGCTAATCAATCCGACCTACCAAATTTCATAAGGATCGGCCGACTATATCTTATAGCTGCCATATAACTGAACGATTGGAAATGACATAACTTTGGTGTTTTTAAAGTTAGGAAGTTGGGACATTTTATGAGTATTAAGAATACATCATATGAATAATTTTGGACAATATAATTTATAAAATATTCTGCAAGGGTATATCAACTTCTGCTCCGCCCGAAGTTAGCTTTCCTTTCTTGTTATTTTTAAACAATGTTTTCTTTATACTCGTTTCTCATTGAGCAACTCGGATTTTTATACCCTTGCAGAGGGTATTATAATTTTGGTCAAAAGTGTGCAACGCAGTGAAGGAGACATCTCCGACCCTATAAAGTATATATATTCTTGATCAGGATCACCTCCTGAGTTGATATAGCCATGTCCGTCTGTCCGTCTGTCCGTCTGTCTGTTTCTACGCAAACTAGTCTCTCAGTTTTAAAGCTATCGGATTGAAACTTTGCACACACCCTTCTTTCCTTTGCACGCAGTATATAAGTCGGAACGGCCGGGATCGGCCGACTATATCCTATAGCTGCCATATAACTGATTGATCGGAAATGCCATAACTTTGGTGTTTGTAAAGTTAGAAAGTTGGGATTTTCTATGGGTTTTATATTTGGCCAATCAATCCGACCTACCAAATTTCATAAGGATCGGCCGACTATATCCTATAGCTGCCATATAACTGATTGATCGGAAATGCCATAACTTTGGTGTTTGTAAAGTTCGAAAATTGGGATTTTCTATGGATTTTATTTTTGGCCAATCAATCCGACCTACCAAATTTCATAAGGATCGGCCGACTATATCCTATAGCTGCCATATAACTGATTGATCGGAAATGCCATAACTTTGGTGTTTGTAAAGTTAGGAAGTTGGGATTTTCTATGGATTTTATTTTTGGCCAATCAATCCGACCTACCAAATTTCATAAGGATCGGCCGACTATATCCTATAGCTGCCATATAACTGAACGATTGGAAATGCCATAACTTTGTTGTTGTTAAAGTTAGGAAGTTCGGATTTTTTATGAGTATTAAGAATGCATCATATGAATAATTTTGGAGAATATAATTTACAGAGTATTCTGCAAGGGTATATCAACTTCGGCTCCGCCCGAAGTTAGCTTTCCTTTCTTGTTGTTTATGGGATTAGTTAATCATTACCTAAAATTATTTGTAGGTGTACAAAAAGCCAAGCGAAAATTTAAATGACTTTAAATAAAATAGGTAATTCAAATCTTAAAAAGTTAAAGTTGTCTTTAATTTAAGTTAATCATTAGCTTGAATTAGCAATTCTTTTGGCTTATACTTAAATGCCGTCAAAACAAACTCGTAAAGAAAGTCATAAAAAGTTTAAAATATCTTAACTACAAAACGCATTAAAAATAGTGTTCACTGTTATGAAGGTGGTCTGTAAATAAGCCTTGATTGCAGGAATTCCAGTGTATTGTTGTCTGATGCTGGGGTATGGACACCTTATCCATATTTAATTAAGGCACAATAATGGGAAATCAATATCTGGGCCTAATAATACCTCAACAGGAGTGACATCGAGCCTGTCTCCCTTTCTTTATCTCTCGTGCGTGCCAAATATAGCGCCAGGTCCTGGCCAACAAGCCCACACACATACAAACACAAACAGACACACACGAGTGGGCCCAACTCATAAATTGAATTCTTTTGTGGTCCCCGTTGCCAACTAAATGTCATTAAAAACGTTAGCGCAATGGTTTAGAGGACACCAACACGCAAGGATTTAGAACAGGAAGAGGTGAGGCTAAACAGCTTAGGTTCCCATGGCAAGTCACTTTCGAGGGGTAATTAATTAATAATTAAAATAATTATAAATTATTTGTATTTGTAGCGGTTAGCTTAATGAGTTGGGTAACTTCCTAAGAAGAATTTGCTTAAATTGACGAAAATAAGGATGAAAGAACAAGTTAATGTGTATAAGTCCCTGCATTTTAAATTTTGCTCAGTAAGAATTAAATCTGCATGCCTATGGATACTTTCTGAATTGGTTGGGGTAACTTTCTAATTATAAACAAGGGTGTAGAATCAAGAACTAGACTATGCATATAAAGCCATGTATTTAAAAATGGGTGTAAATATTGTGCTATAAAATCATCGTTAATTAACCCCTTGAGACGATTTGCCCTTTATGCATAATGCAGATTGACTTCGGCATAATCACTACTTTATGCTGTTCCCTACTTTCTGTGTCTCCACAAAAAAATCCCGCATAGCTTGGCGCCACAATGTTTCCATTGTTTCACCCCCCTACTCCATTCCTGTCTGCCCGCATTGGCGCCACGTTGGGCGTCCTGTTTGCGTGTCCTGGCCACATTTTCGGAGCTACAAACGAAAGGACTCAAACACACAAACACATCAGTTCACTTTTCAGCTCCCTTTTCATAGTTCCTTTGACTGGCGTTGAACTGAACCCGCATATTCTCGTTGTAGTTGTCCGAAATCACAGCATTAAATGACCTAACAAATGACCCATATTACAAAATGTTCAAAGTGCAATGAACTTGTGGGTCAATTATTCAATTATTATTCTTATTTCTTCACTTTAAGAATATTTAGTAAGCTCTTAAAAATCAAATCTAATAAATTTAAAGCCTCAATCGTTTTTATAAGTATGACTAACTCTGATAAACATTTCTATGACGTGTACCTGGCTGATATGGCTAATGCATATTTTATAAACTTCAATTATAATTGCTTATCACTTCATATTGACTTCGCATGTTAGGGTACTCTCTTTCATAAGCAAATATTAACGCTACAAAAGCCTTGGGAAATTCATTGAAATAATATAAACGCAGTGTTAATATAATCTCTTAAAACTATCAAAACATCTAACACTAGATTGCAGATCTATTTAAAAAACGGTATTTATTGATAGACTTTTTAATAATGAATAGAAAAATAGTCAAAAAGTAACATTAATACGAAATTTAAATGTTTGTAACGTTGCACAACATTATTTTACACCTAGAAAGATAAGATTTAGGCTACCTAGCATAAACTAGTCATAAAATATTTTAGCAGTTACTACCTCTGCCTGAATCGCTGCCTTATCACGCCTCAGAAATGTTATGTCATGCTGTTGATAGTAATTTAATCTATATTTTTAGGCCCATTTCTCGGCAACCCTATCGAAATTGTTTAGTTCTGTAGAAACGGTTATACTTTGTCATAAAATCATCCAGTATTATGAAAACTAACCTATCTCAAGATTTCGCTTATCGCACTTACACATCAATATTCTTTCGACTAGTTTCTTTGTGAATTCAATTCTGTGTTTGTCACTTCAGCTGCGTCAATCTGTGAAGCTTATATTGTTTCATTTCATTTTTATACCCTTGCAGAGGGTATTATAATTTTGGTCAAAAGTGTGCAACGCAGTGAAGGAGACATCTCCGACCCTATAAAGTATATATATTCTTGATCAGGATCACCTCCTGAGTTGATATAGCCATGTCCGTCTGTCCGTCTGTCCGTCTGTCCGTCTGTCCGTCTGTCTGTCCGTCTGTCTGTCCGTCTGTCTGTTTCTACGCGAACTAGTCTCTCAGTTTTAAAGATATCGAACTGAAACTTTGCACACACCCTTCTTTCCTTTGCACGCAGTATATAAGTCGGAACGGCCGGGATCGGACGACTATATCCTATAGCTGTCATATAACTGAACGATCGGAAATGCCATAACTTTGGTGTTTGTAAAGTTAGGAAGTTGAGATTTTCTATAGGTCTTATTTTTGGCCAATCAATCTGACCTACCGAATTTCATGAGAATCGGCCGACTATATCTTATAGCTGCCATATAACTGAACGATCGGAAATGCCATAACTTTGGTGTTTGTTAAGTTAGGAAGTTGGGATTTTCTATGGGTTTTATTTTTAGCCAATCAATCCTACCTATTAAATTTCATAAGGATCGGCCTACTATATCCTATAGCTGCCATATAACTGAACGATTGGAAATGCCATAACTTTGGTGTTTTTAAAGTTAGGAAGTTGGGATTTTTGATGAGTATTAAGAATGCATCATATGAATAATTTTGGAGAATATAATTTTCAGAGTATTCTGCAAGGGTATATCAACTTCGGCTCCGCCCGAAGTTAGCTTTCCTTTCTTGTTTATTATACAATATGTATATGCCGCAAGGTTGACTAAGCGATTTCCCAGACTGAGAGAATTCGCATTAAGGCATGATAAGTAGTTTAATGCGACCCCCTTCTTATATGTTGTTTTTATCAGAGTTTCTTCGAATAGAGAGGTTTATTTGGCTAATTATATTACCACATGTTTGTATTAAATAATGGCTGATTTATTAACTAATACGAAAATAAGTTTTGTGAATTAGAACATATATTTAAAGTTCTATATATTTAAAGTTCCACTGTAAAGTTTCCAATGAGGGGAATTCAACAAACTCATTTTCGTTTAATATCTGTTATATTATTTGTCCATAAACCAAATACATGACATTTGTATTCCTTCCCTTGATTTTTTTCCACTGAAACCAGTTCAACGTATCTTTGATGACACAGTTCCGGCAATTTTCTTTTTTTGATTGCCAACTACTTTTCACACAATTTCAATCCCAGCCAGGGGGAGAGAACGGCGCCAGTCGGAAAAACATGCATGTACATAGTAAGCCCATCTCCTGTTCGAAACCACCCATCCAGTCTGTCTGTCACACATCAAATGCTTTTTGGCAAGCTCCCAAGGCGTGTGCACAATGTACACACACTCCTTGATGCTCCTTGGGCGAACTAAGAGATGAGGTCTACATATCTTTGGAGCATCTCCAGGACGCCTCAGAGTATCCGCTTGAAAAAAATTCTGTGAAAAGCCCCGGACTCTTTCGAGCCATGTGCATTCGTAAATGAATAATAACGCAGTTCGTTTTCCTTTTTATTCCCCTCTCATCGCCCACTCAAATCATATGTTCATCCATACGAAGCACTTTTGGTTATTGTTTTCTCACTGTCGGAACTGAAAATTTGTGGTAAGATGGAAATCTTATACAAGTTGTTATAGAAATGAGTTCCCTTAGGGGAAAACATTTTGTTGTGAAGCATTTGTACTTTTCCTTTTGCCATTCAACTTGTCACAGTTTGTTTATTTTTGATGCATCTTAGGGAGTTTTTGTTCGGTCTGCTGGCAAAGGAAATGCAAGCACAGGGGATATGATATTTATAGAGTGTTTTCATTAAGTTCTACAGATAATTTGGGGGAAAAATAAATTACTGAAAAAAACTATATATCGTATTTGTTCCTTAAAAATGATGGAAGTATATGTGTTTATTGAGACTGCCAGGAAAAAAAAACTTTTTGACCCCAAAGAATTAACCACATTAAACTTAACCTGTTCGCCAAAGTTAGCAAACAAATGTAACTCCTGCAATATGTCAGCTTACCTCAAGCTAACTTATCTAATTCCCAAGACGACAACAAAGTTATATATTAATTTCTGAAAGCAATTTATCCAGGTACAAGGACGACGTCAGCCAACTTCATTAGTGACTTGCCACAAGCAATTTGATTCCTGTCCACTCCTTGCTATCCCTATCCCAATCTCCTTCTTCTTTTTTTCCTGACCATGGTGACCCGGAAAAAACTTTTCTCCAACAATTTCACAAATTGTGTGGAACATGAAAGTTGGTCTCACGAGCCAAAAAAAAAGAGAAAATACATACACAAAGCATGGAAATGTTTGGATGACCCAGACGAAACCCGAGCTTGGTTGGGATCTTAATTGGGCGACTGAGTTGCAATTCAATTAAGAAACTATTTTCATGTCGGGATGGTGCCCCTGGTTAGAAGTGCAATTAACCATTTACTGAAGATTCGAAAAAAAGAGTCCCATCAGGAAACTTAACTTAACAAGTAGTTTAACTTAAGATAAATCTATACAAGAATTGTTTTAATGGTGAAATCATTTTGATGGAGATAAGAAATAATATCATGGCATAACATTTACTTTCGCTACTTGGTAAAATGAAGACGATTTTAAAGTGAGACACCTCTTAAGACTTGCGGTTTGATTCTCTCTAAGTGAAGAATACATTTCCGACCCATTAAAGTATATTTTTGCTTACTTTTTTCTTTATTTATATTTCCTAATCTCTAATGCGAGTATTCTAAAAAGGCTATTTATCTTAAAAGAATTACTTTGCAATCTAGGTGGCTTCTAAAAATCTGTCGAGTGAACCCTGCCCAGATCCATTCTCAGTTTTAAGTTGAAGTATTTCATTAAGTGTTCACTTGTGTGGATTTCTTGACTTGAAGATAGCCCAACTCGACTCTGTCTGGGCAACTGGTGATCCTCGAGAAGCAGACGCAGAGCAACCACGATGAACCGCCACGAGGGCGTCGTGTGCAAGGGATGCGGCAAGGAGTCGTTCGCGGGGAGGTGCTACCGCTGCCTGAGCTGCCGCGACTTCGACATCTGCGCGGACTGCTACAACGCGGACTTCACCGCCGCGGAGCATCCGTTCGACCATCCGGTGATGTGCATCTACACGCCGGCAGACGTGGAGCTGTACTTCGGCGGCGAGTACATCAGCAGCGATCCGCCGCAGAGCTACCGCTGCCCCTACTGCAAGCACTGGGGCTTCAACGAGTCCACCTTCCTGGAGCACGTCTCCACAATGCACCCGAACGCCAGTCCTCTGCTGGTCTCCACCATGGTCACGCTCTTCGAGCAGCAGCAGGCGGCCCGTCTCTTCCTGGAGGACGAGCAGCTGGCCTCCATCTCGGCGGCGGCCACATCTCGCAACGCCCAGATGCGCCGCCCGGTGGGCTCGCTGGACCTCTACCTGGAGCCCCTCAATCCGGATGGCAGCTACCGCAGATCGGCGGGCAGAAACGAAGATGGGTCGACGTGCAAGGGCAGTGATCTGGTGGCCAGGGACCGGACCCATCGGGTTTCCCGCCGCAGTGACTCGTCGGCGGGCAGAAGTGGCTCATCCGGCCGCATATCCAGACCACCACCGCCCGCTGTTGCTGTGGAAAGCAACTCCGCCATCGGGAACAATGACTCCTCCATGGATCTGGATGACGAAGAGTTTCTCATCGCGAACAATCCTCGCCTGAATTGGCTGCGACAAAATGTGGCAGCCAGGGAGAGACTGCGCCTAACCATCACGGAGTCGGGATCCAACCGGAACTACGTTCATCCGCCGGCGGATGTGCCAGCCACTCTGGGCGCCACCGCCCAGCAGGTCGTAGCTCCGAGCTCCAATGCTGCTGCTCCCATCACACATCCCTCGCTGACCGAGATGATGCGCTTCTACGGCGGCAGTCTGCAGGTGCCGCAGGAACCGGTAACCTCCTCCGGTCGAGCCATCCGCACCTGGCCTTTCAGTTCCGGCTCACAGCCGGCCACCGGCAGCAGCACCCGGACCATCAATGTCTATGGCCCGACCTCCACTTACACGCAGGCGCCGCACAATGCCAGATCCTTTTTCCTGGCCCCGGAAATGTATTCCCGCGACGAGCGTCGCCGAGCGGCCAGGATGCCCAGCTTCCAGGGGAGTGGAGGAGGAGCTCAGCAGCGCCTGGGACCCAGCTCCCGGGCCTTGGCCGCTCGCAATGTGGATTTCAGCGATCTGCCGACGGAGGAAGGTGATTTGGCCAGCATCAACGCTTCGTCGGTGGACAACCTGTTGCGGTGCCTGAACGAGGAGACGCCGGTGGTGGTGAAGAAGAGGGAGCAGGAGCGCAAGCGCTACCTTTGCCATCGCTTCCTGGCGCCCAAGAGCTCATCTCGACCGAAGAAGACCTTCCTGGTGCTGCGTGCCGAGTTCGTGGCCCAACTGCTCTCCTCCGCCCTCTGTGAGGAGGACTTCCAGGGCATATCCTTCGCCCCCATGGTGAACTTCAATCCCACTCCAAAACTGAAGAAGGTTTCGAGCAGCAACATCGCCGGTGCCGGAGATGCTGAGAAGATCCCGCCTCCATGATTTGTGAGATCAGTTTTGTGTACTATTTGTAGCAGTGCAGTTTCTTATATCATTTTATATTGGTTAAATTTTCGGTTGACATCAAGACAATACCTGGTACTTTTGGCTTTAAATACCAGTAAATTAATGGCAGATTGGAAATAATTTGTAAGATGCCCCCAATCTGTGTATATATTTTTGTAGCAGCTCATGGTTTTCTTGGTGCACTTTTCTCTTCAGTGCTGAAGTTTTCTTCGCCTAAATAAAAAAAACCTCTGATTTAGGATTATCATTTAGTTTAACTTATAATAAAACAAAGGCAAAAATCAAATTTATTCCTTACCAATGAAAATTGTTATTAAATTAAACATTTAATTGGGTTATGACTATAAAAAATATAACTAGAGCCTTTTTAGGACTTAAATAATATACATTTGCAGAAGTTGAGATTTTTTCCCGGAGTTCACGAAAGTGTTCTTCAAAACCCATACCACTCAGTAAAGTGCAAACCACAGAGTTTGCATATTTCTCCATGTCGGCAACGTTCAGAAAAAAACCCTCTACACTTTTATTAAGCTTAATTAAAAAGTCAACAGGCTGTAGAGAGACCCAAGAATTAGCTCAGGCAGGCTTTGAATCACAGCCATTTTCCCTCGTTTTGCAATTGGCCAGCGGGAGATTTTCCTGCTTTTCAATTAGCCTCTTCGTTGTTGTCGAGCAATTTTCTTGACCCCATAAAAAGGGTGTAGGTGTGGCAGTGGAAAGATGATTGTGAAATAAAAGGCTTATAATCTGCAATATGAAATTGCAAGTTTTTAATGGAAAATAATTGGATAATTGAAATTGAAGCGCATCTGTGCGTAGCTTATCTTGTTGCATGACGTCAAACGAAAATCCCTTTGAGATTCAAATAAGTCCCCTGCCACCTCGACTTGTTTTCTGTGGCAATCATTGCGCAGGCTTATTTACTTTACATACCAGTTTTGTGTAATTTTAAAGAAGAACTTTAAAATGTTTAAATAAAATAGTTGAGCATTATTTACCTGAATATACATTTATAATATTTCTGACCTATATTAGAATATATTTTGCTTCAATGACGCAAATTGGTTTACCTTTATAATTAATATTTGTAATGATTGACAATATAGGTGCGTCTAGTGAACTAGGTATAAAGTTTGCCAAAGGTGCGTTCCTAACGGCACAACGTATTTTATTGTTTAACCTTAATATCTGATAGGAATCCAAAGCGAATAAACTTGAAAAATATAGGGGTTGCTACATAACGACATTCATTGTGTTACTAGTTTATCTTATTTAATTTAATTAAATTATATGTATCAATTTTCTGTTGTACTGAATAAGGTAATTACTTATAGTAATACAATTTTCCTTGCACAGCTCTTTAATTTAAGAGTTAACAAAGTGGAAGCCGTAACATAATCTGGTAGCTCCCATCTTTGGATTCGTTTGCGATTTCCCTGATTTACATGGCTCATGAGAGTGTCTCTCCCATTGGCTTTCGCAACATTTCCGTATGGCTGACAGCATTCTGGGGCCATGCACTTGACTTTGGCACCCGCTGACCTTCAAAACAGGGCCTAGAAACCCCAGGGGAAAACGGCAAAGCGGAAGGTTAAGCTGTCACAGCCACAAATGCTGAAAACTTGGGGTTGTTTTGGGGGGAAAGCACTCACAAATATGACATCATCGGGGTCAGGGCACGCAATTGGATTGGGATCGAAAGTAAGAATGGGAATGGAAATGTAAATGAAAATGGGGAAAACATTAGCTGCCAAAAAATCTAACTTTTCGTTGACCCACTCTCTCTTTTTTCGGTAGATATGCGGCCTACTACTGGAAAGTGTCGCGTGAAGGTCGTCGGGTGTACATGGACTACTACTACATGGAGAACGGCAAGCAGATCTATGGAGTGCCCATCGGCGGAATTGGAGGTGGCACCATTGGCAGGGGCTATGCCGGCGAATTCTGCCGGTTCCAGATGCGTCCCGGCATCTACGAGTACAATGTGGTGCAGGCCAATCAGTTCATCGTGACCATCAAGGATCAAAAGGGATGCACCATCTTCCAGAGCCTCCTTTCCAAATGCAGGTGAGCATGTTTTCCAATCGATCTCTCTCTCATTCTATCCCCCTTCTCATTGTTGCAAAGATAGTTTTTCTTTTCCAAGTTTTTCCACATTTACTTTCCTTACTTGTTTCTTTTTGTTAGGCATGATTCGTGTTGTTTGCATGCTATGAATTTAGTTATATTTTCTACCTCCCTCACTCGCCCTAAAAAAAACTACCTTTTGGGAGTATCTGACGACTGCTGGCTGTTATTTTTACTATTTATTTGTTACTTATTTATCTTGACGGGTTTTCCATGTTTTACTCTCTAAACATTGAAAATATTGATGTAGGCTAGCCTAGAATTATTACTTCGACATGTGGAAAAGCGAATTTTCTGTACATAGCGTGACCAAAATGTTTTGGTCTTTGAAATACGCCTTTTTTTTGAGTACGTAATTGAAACTTGATGGTTGTCTCACATTTGATTGTCAAATTATATTTTTAAGTTCAATGCACTTTTTGCGTAGGCACCTTATGTTAAATATTAAACAAATTACGAGCAACGTCTTTGCAATTCCACATTTTTAATGCCTTTTAATTATTGAGTTATATTTTCACCATTTATAGACATTGCCTTTGTTTTCTTTAAAAACGCATATCAAACATAAAAAAAGGTGCAACTCCAGTTTCAACGTGTTTTATTACTTACTTCATATTAATGGCGTTTGTTAGATATAAAATAAAACACTTCACAAAAACGTGAATAAAAAGCTTATTCAAGCGTAGCTGACGTGGATTTAATGACCAGTGTAGTTGTCAACATTTTTCCCTACTTGTTGTACTTCAATTTTTATATCAATACACCCTGAAAACATCTATTGCTTACTTCCCAACGAATTTCTACTACTGTACTATTTCTAGTTTTATTCCATAACTTCCAATTGTACTAAGTAAATGTGTCTCTCCCTTAAAAATCCTAACGAAAAGTGTGAGCTTTCTTTAACCCCAGATCACTTCAAATGCTAACCCCACTCACCTTAAAAATAGGTGTCGGTTTCTCTCTAAAACTGAAAACTGTAAGAAGCCATACGTGTTTTGAATGGAGATTATAACTTCAACAATAAATATTTTTCTCTAATTCTTGATGCACACTTAAAACGAATTTTTAAACACGCAACTCTTATCGACAATCACACCGACAACAATCACCACATATGGATATGTTAACATACAAACCACCGATTCCGGGTTATTTTGGGTTATCTGGCGCAACGACAACCGTTTGGTATGATGTTATGATGGTATAATGGTATACGATGGTATGGTATGGTATCGGGCGTTCTACCTTGTTGGCTTCTATTTGGCTTATGCACTTTGGTTTCGATTTGATTTTGCTTTGTTGCCTTCACACACCCACTCCACACCCATCCAGCACCAGGTCGAACAGCGATCGCAGCGATCCGGATGCCGATCCGGATGGGGAAAGAACTAAATGTCAACTGCCCAATTGCAGCAGTCGCACCAAGCAGCCGCTGAGTGCCTGGCACTCGAACATCGAGGACTCCCGCTGCAGCTACACGGGTCTCTATCCGCGCTCCTGGACCGAGTACGATCTGTCCCACTACGGGGTGCGTCTCACCTGTCGCCAGGTGTCGCCGGTGATCCCACATGAGTACCGAGAGTCCAGCCTGCCCTGCGCCGTGTTCGTGTGGAGCGTGGAGAACGTGTGCGACCAGGAGCGCAAGGTGTCCATCACGTTCAGTTTCAAGAACGGCACCGGCAACAAGAAACAGGATGCCGAGGGCGGAGCCGAGTCGCAGCTAATCAGCGAGGGCAACGCCAAGGGCGTCTCCATTAGGCAGAAGATCGCCGACATGCCCTGCAGCTACAACCTGGCCTGTCGCGTCCTCCCCGAGATCAGCATCACCCGCTGTCCCCAGTTCGATCCCGCCGGCAACGGGGAGCAGCTGTGGGCCCAGCTCAAGGAGCACGGCCAGCTGAGCGAGCAGCCCACCGCCGAGACCCTCAAGAGTGAGTCAAAGTTACTTAAGATTCCTGACTAATCCGAACCAATCGAATTCAGCAACATTTTAGAAACTACAAATCAAAATAGATCATATTTAATTTGCTAACATTTTCTGTAGTAAAAAAGAATCTTAGAACTCAAGCATTCAAATATTTAAAATATTTAACGAAAAACTTTAAAGTCTCGATAAAAATGTTGTTTTCTGGAAATTAGCTTTTTTCTTTTCTTATCTTCAATATGGCATTACCCTAATCGAATTCATAAGAATTCTCGAACTTCCGGTTGAAAAATCTAATTTTTATTTATCTGCTTTTCGTCGTTGACTTCGTTGCCCTTTAGGCTTTGAAAAATCAAAAGAAATAGAATAAAGATCGTGCAAAAATGTATTGCTTAAAAATGTTTAGATCTTTTAACATATATAAAATTCTGTTTTATTATCTATACTTATAAAATTTCTAGGCCCTTATATATAAGTACAATTTCTTTCTCTCAAAACTTTATTTAATTCGACCTCAATGAAAGAAGAACAATTGAAATAACCCTTCTGGGTATTAAGCATTCGAATTAACTAGGCTGTAAATACTTGTATTTAGCTAGTTACCTAATAAAACTCCTAAAGTAAAGAATGACAAAAGTAATTATATTCTTCACCCCTTTTCCCTGTAGCCAAAGATATTGGCGTGGCTGTCTGTGCCCAGGTGGCTCTGAAGCCAATGGCCTCGCATGAGCTGGAATTTGTGCTGGCCTGGGACATGCCGAAGATTCAGTTCCCCAGGAAAATGCAGACCCACACGCGCTACTACACCAAGTACTTCGATGACAGCGGTGACTCTGGACCCAAGATCTGCGAGTATGCTCTGAAGCAGTACGCCTCCTGGGAGAGATTAATCGATGCCTGGCAGAGGCCCATTCTGAATGATGAGTAGGTTTAGGCCTAGGTTTTGTTGCCAACTTGGCTAATCTTTATCCCCCTACTTTTAGGACCCTTCCTGACTGGTACAAGTGCGCCATTTTCAATCAATTGTACTTCATTTCCGATGGGGGAACCATTTGGTTGAAATGTGACTCTTGGCTGGGCAAGGAGTTGGCCTACGATGATCCCCGACTCGCCTATGGACGCTTTGGTTACCTCGAAGGGCACGAATACCGCATGTACAACACCTACGATGTCCACTTCTATGCCTCGCCGGCACTGGCTCATCTCTGGCCAAATCTACAGGTCAGTCTGCAGTACGACTTCAAGGATGCCATTGCCGCGGAGCTGGGCGATACCCGCAAGATGCTCTACGATGGAAAGGTGATGCCGCGCAAGGTTAAGAATTGTGTACCCCACGACTTGGGGGATCCTGATGAAGGTGAGTATTGAAGCTCTCTGTAAACTATTCTTAACTATAAAGAAATTTCCCTTTCCAGAGCCCTTCACCCTTATTAACTGCTACAACATCCACGATGTGAATGATTGGAAGGATCTCAATACGAAGTTTGTGCTGCAAGTCTATCGGGACTATTATGTCCTCAACGAACTGGCCCAGGCTCAAGCGGATAACGCCAGCAAGTTCAGCTCCATCGAGTTCATCGACAAGGAGAGCTTATATGAGCTGTACAGCCAGGACAACAAGCGCAAGAATTCTGCTGATGAAAAGCAACGTAAGTTTAGGCATTTTTTTTATCTTAATTTATTTTAAAAGGTATTCATTAATTTATGAAATTAAGATCTTTGAATAATTCGCTTTTTTTAAATCGAAATCTTTGATTTGCCTTTTTAGAGAACCGCAAGTCTGCGTCGATGTACATCAACGAAACCAATGGAAAGGTGTACCTAATGGACGCTATTGGTTATTTGAAGGCCATGTACGGAGCATGCAAGGCCATCATGGAGCGAACGATTGAGTACGACAAGGACAACGACGGTCTGATCGAGAACACGAAGATGCCGGACCAGACCTACGACTCCTGGGTGATGGACGGGCCCAGTGCTTACTGCTCCGGCCTGTGGCTGGCTGCTCTGCAGTCCATGTCGGCCATGGCCTCGATTCTGGACCAGCCGAACGATTGCCTGCGCTATCAGGACATTCTGGAAAAGGGCAAGCGATCGCTGGAGGAGAAGCTGTGGAATGGCAGCTACTACCGCTTCGATCTCTCGCATAGCCATCGGGATACGATTATGGCCGATCAGCTATGCGGCCATTGGTATCTGAAGTCCTGCGGCTTTGACTACGAGATCTATCCGAAGGAGAATGTGCGCACGGCCCTCAAGAGGATCTATGACAACAATGTGATGGGCTTCCACGAGGGCAATATCGGTGCGGCCAATGGGTTCATTGCCAACGCGAGCGAAACCACCAAGCCGGGTCACGTGGACAACAGCAACATCCAGGCGGAGGAGGTGTGGCCGGGTGTGGTCTATGCGCTGGCGGCCACGATGATCCAGGAGGGCATGTTCGAGGAGGCCTTCCAGACGGCCGGTGGAATGTACAAGACCCTGTCGCAGCGCATCGGCATGAACTTTGAGACCCCAGAGGCGTTGTACGGGGAGAAGCGCTACCGTTCCATCGGCTATATGCGACCTTTGAGCATTTGGTCGATGCAGGTGGCTTTGGAGCGACGGCGGGCCCAACGCGACTAAATCGAGAGTACAATCTTATCCGAAGTCTACACAACCAAAGATATTTCTAAGCCAGCACAAAGATTTTCTTAGCTTTTAGTTTGATTCTTCTGTCGAGGTTGAAAGTGTAACGAGCTTATCGAAGGTGCGAGTGGATGAAGATGTTGTCCGAGATGGTATTCAAATTTATAGCTTTATGTGTACTTTTAAGCTGGAATCTGTAGGCGCTTACTCCATGTCTTCTCTAGCTATAAAGCCAGTCACAAATCAAACTGCTACTCTCTGTTGAAGTACAACTACGCAATGGTATTCAAATGGAGCACAATTCGTATTTAAATGTTAGCTAAGCAAAATATTTAAATCAATTATAACTGTTTTAATTAATTATTAATGTCTTAAGAAAGTATTTCAATGTGTAAACCGTTGCTGTCTGCAATAAATGTGACCGAAGAGTCAGAAATTATTCATGTTATGATCAATCTTTTTGCTTAGCGTAGAACTGACTGATACCAACTGCAATCAATTGTTTTATTTTTTCAAGACTTTTATGTTTTATATTCAAGATTTATCAAATCTTGAATTCAGTTCATAATTTTTACGATAAAGGAAATAGTTAACTTAAATTCACTGCAACTTGTAGTGAGTTCCTGCCAAAACGTGATGGTATACATTTTTTACCCTCTAATGCCTTCTGTATTTGGCGAATTTCTCGTTTGGCTTATCCAGTGCTGCAAAAACTTGTCATATTCCCTGCGGCTGCGACAAATGATGACGAGGGAGGAGGGTCGACAGCCGTGGGACTTTAGTTCATCCATACGCATCTTGGTGGTTTTAAGGCTGTGGCACAGAATTCGAGGCACTTGGGCTATCTCAAATCTCGTAAACTTGGCCTCGTCGAGTAAGTAGTCCAGCACCTCCTTAATCTTAAGGACAAAATGATTATTGCTTATACTTCTGTCAAAGTAGTATTACTTACCTTGGTAACCCGCACGGTGTGTACCTGCGGATGTCTGTCCATGATTGTTTTTGTCTCACTCGGGTTAAAGCCCAAACGATGCGCCAAGTATTCCACCACGGAAGAGAACTCCCCCAGAACCTTCAGCTCATCGAGGGAGAGCTTCAGGGAGCGCTGCAAGATGGGCTCCGGACATCGCACCATCCACGGCATGATCTTATCCTTCTTCGCTCGCTTGGCGCGCTCCAAACGCAGCTGAACCGACTTAGGCGTATAGCGAAAGGCCCAGAGATCCTTGAGAATGTTGATTGGCGACACATTGTAGTCGATCATGTGCTGCAGGTTCTTCTCGAACATCTCGAAGGGCATCTCCAGGATAAATAGTCGCTTCGACAGGTATTTGGTCACAATCTCCGGACTGACCTCCAGCTTCTCGCTGATGTAATATACACGATTCTGTTGCGGTATCGTGTTCCGCTCGGAGTTGAGGGCACCAACCAGCTTACGGAGGCGTGGCACAGTGAGGCGCAGGAAGGGCACAAAGTGGTTTATGTCCCGCATGTCCATCGACTTGATTAACTGGAGCTTAAGTGTCAGGCGCTCTGCGGTAATAGAAAATAATAATCACAACAATCACAATAGAAAATGGGCAAAAGAATCTACGGTAAGCTAGGATATTAAAGGACTCACTGTTGTCCAGGGACAGTAGCCAGGAATACTCTACAAAGCTGTTCCTGCTGACCCCCTCCAGCATCAGTGTGTCCAGGGTATGGGCCAGCGATCTGCTGCGGTAGGTGCGGTGCACCAGCTCGTCGCTCATAATCCTCTCCAGCTCGGCGTGTGTGAAGCGGAAACGTTCCCGCAGAGCTTCGACCAGCACCCGGGCCTTGGTGCCCCTTTCCTGATCCTGGCTGTAGGGCACATAGTCGTTGTCCGCCTCGTTGCCACCAAATGTCGCACTGGTCAGCAGGGATTTTCTGGGACTCTTTTGGTTTTCGTACTGCGAGAAGAGCAGGCGTCTGCTGCAGTGCAGCGGAGCTGGGCTTGTGGCTGCATGGAGCCTAAGGGCAGTCTCGAAGCTGCGCACCAAGTTTCTCAACATTCCCAGCAGTTCAATAAATGCGGTAAATAATTAAACTTATAAAACAAGCGGCGAGAACAGCTGATTTGAATATTATGATAACCTAACAGCGACCAATCGATTTTTGTCGATTATTCGATTGAAACTTGTTGCGCTCAAGGCCAGTTGAAAGCTGAGCTGTACGACACTAACTTATTTGTCGTTTATTTTATTTAAATTGTGTTTTGTCAAAGGCTGAGTAAAACAAATTACTGATATTTATATTAACTATCTATAAAATTAGTTAAAACACAAAGATTACATTTTTTAAAAGATTAGCCAGTAAATGTAAATAAGAAACTTCTATAAAACTTGTTGCGAATTCTTAATGGTCTTTTTCAATAACATTTTATACGTAAAATCAAAAGAATGAAAAAATTAAAAATTAAGGTAAATTTAGTCCAGACATTGGTATTAATTCGTGTATAATATCATACCATTTAAATATCTAATTCTATCGTATATGAAAACAATATCCCCCAGATAAATTACTATACACCTGCTTCTTCAACGAACTTTCGACTTTATTTTCAAAAATACTACGCTCCAAAGCTAATCGGAGCATTAACGGTAAACATAGATTTTGGAAAAATCATGAAAATTTCTATCACAAGCTGGGAAGGGGGAACACATCGGCCTACTCCACGGTGACGTCCTTGGTGACGCGACCGACCCAGTAAACGAATCCGGTCTGCACCACGGTGGCCATGAACTTCACGTTGCCCTTGTATCCTGCTGGCGGCGCCCACTCGAACTCCAGCGACGTCAATGGGCTTCCCTTGGTGGCCTTCAAGTGGGTGAGGGTGTCGCCCTTGGCGGAGCAATCCAAAGTCTGCGAGTGCTGGCTGTCCACCACATGGAACTGGCCAACCACACGGTTCTGGCCATCGCGAGCCTGGATAATGAATCCGAGGAAGTCGCCTCCTTCCAGTTTCAGGTTCAGCTTCTGATCCCCATTCACATGGGTCAGTCCAGAGATGAAGTACGGCGGCTTATCCGTCTGCAACTTGGCGCCGTGCTGGGGCGTCAGATCCCCGCAAGCGGTTTTCGGAGCACCATTGGCGTAGCCGTGGACACTGATGGCCAGGCAGGCCAGGATCACCAGAAGACGGAACATAGCTGCTGAAAAAAGGTAAGACACCTCATTAATTAACTGCATATTTAAATCGGTTTAAACGTAATCCAACTTAAATTCCATAATGGAAAAAAGGGTAGTCTAATTTATTCCACAAAATTATTAGAATAACAACCAAAGATTTGTTAATGTTCTTTAAGTTGCTATTCTAAAATATTGAAAATAGAAACATTACTGCAAACTATTTATGGCCCTTTTGTGAACTATGAAATAAGTTTATTTAACAAAAAATGTAACTAATAATAACGATTTGAATATCTTAAAAATGAAGCTCCCACTCTTAACTTCTAAGCCAAATTTAGCTTATTTAAAATTGTTGCTTTTTGTTTTGTTGCCTTTCCTGTGCATGCTATTTAATTGCACTTACTAGTTTTTCATAAATTAATTAATTAACATTTCCACTCAAGTGCGACTTTTTCGTTGGCCTTGGCCAGCTTGACTTTGTTGAAGTTTTTTTTTGCTTTGATAATTTTACATATTCGTAGGCAGTTACAAATGTATTGAAAACTAGCTCCAATTATGCAGTTTGTCAACGACAACGTTTATTATGCAGTTTGTTCAGTTTCTGTTGTTGTTGTTATATAGTTACATATATATGCAGCCTTGACTTTTGAGATCTGAGATTTTACAAGACATATTATTAGTCGGTTAATTTTTTGCCAGGTTGATAACCCTCAATAGAAGTCTACAACTTCATCAAAACATTTTAAGTGCTTAAATGAATCCAAATGAACTTAACATTTCAATCACGCTCGCCTAATAAATCTACAGATTCGCAGAAACAAGAAGACACGTTTGTGTCTTTTTTGTTTAAAAAGCTGATTTTATTCAATATTAAAATTGGCCAAGATACATGTTGATAAATCCAATTTAAAAAAAAATTAAACTGGTTTTTCGGACGTAAACGAAAACTTTATAAAGCCCAAACCAGTTTGCAGTACATTTCCATAGAAAAGTAAGTTTTTAATTGTTTTTTTTTTTTTTGTTTTGTTAAACTGTCATTACCATAGCGATTGAATAGAAATGTTTGTGACAATTTAAAAAACGTGCACAATAAAGAGAGCTAAGTACTTCCTGAAACCAACTTCAGGTTCAAGGTGGATTGGGGTCTTGTGAAGTACCGATCTGATCGATCATCGGCCTCCTCCACTTTTGTCGGCCTCCTCCACTTTTGTGGATTCGAGCTCCAAAGAGACCTTGTGAAGACCGGGCCGAAAGCCAAGCCTCGATTTGTCTTGCAATATGCTAAAGTTCAGCATTGGACATGCTGGTGTCTGCGCCAAGTCTCGCTTCTTTATTTATTCGTACTTCTGACTTTTATCTGTGTATTTATGGGCCTTTGTCCAACCGGTTGCCAGATTTGTTTAGATAAAATCTCAATACATAGTTGTTTAATTTTTTTTTTGGTGCCTGTCATTACGCTGTGCCATGAGCAGAGGCCTCAATTAGCTAACTTTTATAATGGCTTGGAAAACATTATTATTAGCAAGTGGCTGGGATAGAATTGCTGAAGCTTGAAGTTCCCATTCAATTCTAAAACTATTCAAGCCACAAATGTGAATATTAAGTAGTGAGTGGGATTATTTAATAAGATGTTAGGTTTCCTTTAACTGGTGCACCTTTGAAATGTTCCTATAAGTGTGGCAAAATAAAGTAATTTCTTAAGGAAAAGTAGTTGAATTTCCTTTAAAGGCTGACAGGTTTTTAAAAAAACCTTTATTTACACCAAAGAATTTTTACACAAGAACTACACAACTTTATTAATCGCTTAGGATCTTAAAGAAAAATAATTGCTTAACCGTTTTTACCTACCACTAAAAAACAGACACTAACAGCACAAAAGAAAAACTTTAAATGAGCTGAAAATTCTTACACAGCTTCCTATTTATACCAAACATGGATCAAAATTAGAAAAAAGCTTTACGAAGCCAACTTTGTAAGCAAAAGAGCTGTCGAAGCCGAGCTTTAACCGCAAACTTAGCGGATTGGTAAACTGAAAAGCTTGTAAAGCTCAGCTTGAAAATTGAATTTTTAACGCTTCATTTAAAGTGCGACATAAACAGTGACTAAGTGTTTACTTCGGTCTAGAAATCAAATGGCAGAGCAATTAGCAATTTTTATTGATTTAAGGGAGAAACTTTCAAATTAGAATTCGCTAATAAAAGTCACAGCTGCTCAATGGAAAGCTTGTGGGTAAGCTTAGCTTATAGGTCAACTATCAGTCTGCATTTAAGGCTGGTTCCGGATTTTGTTTTTAAACTGGGATGTTATATACCTATGTTGTTAAAGCTAAACTAAAGTATTAAGTAAGTCTTAATGAGATGATTTCATTGAGCTAAATAATAAATAAAAAAAATGTATATTGTATATTAAAGTAAAAACTTTAATGCTACTTTCTCAAATTACTTCGGAAAGTTTATCTTGTAATGTATCCTGCAGCTCTGAAAATTCGTAATCTCTAAGTCAATGTTTACGAGTCGGGTACAAAACGAAACTTTTTCCTTACTCTTAACATAAATACGAATGTTATAAATAAAATATATATATTCGTATTATAAATATAAAAGTTTAAGGATGCCGCTACGTTTTTTACCCAATCTAAGAAGGCCAACCAAAAATGTCATCTTAATTCCTTTCTGGATTCCATTGTTAATTGATTTGTGAATATGGGCGCAGAGCAATCAGCCCTGTTGGTTTGCACTCAGACAGGAAAGCCAGAAAAACCTCTGGAACTGATCAACTCCGAGCTGTTTTTCCGATCTTATTTTGAAAATATGCCGGAGCCTGTGACGGGTCCTGTGACAGAAGCGCTGTTGCACTTGGTATCAAATCTACACACGACAAGGAGAAACGTTAATGGTAAATCATGATATATTTCACTTTTCTCAACTGTCCTTAATATAACTTAATACCGAAGCTGAAGATGCTCAATCGGTCCATGATGAAGATGACAGCGAAGAGAGTGAAAGCGGCTTCAATTCGGAATATAGCGAAGACAGTGAAATGTCGTCGCCTTTTACATCCTCCACTGGTACCGATTCTGATTTTGAGATAGAGCCTCTGCAGATAGCCGAATTTGATTCCATGGACGAATATGATATACCTAATGCCGAATTTATTGATCCGCATGCCCATGATCTCCCATTTTTCGAGTCTCATGATTAAATTATATTAATTTAACATATGAATTTATGTACAGAACTAATTGCAACATGTTTTTACTTAAAGTTAACCTTCTTCAGTCTCAGCGACTTGATGGGTCTGACTATGCTCCTTCGCTCCTCGCGATGCTTTTTCATCTCGGCCTCACGCTTCTTGGCATGGTACTGTGTTTTCTTCTGCTTGTTAACCTCGAATGTCATTTGCCGATTGCCGAAAGAGCGACCCACATTGGTCACCTGGCCCTCCAGCTGGGACATGACTTGTACACGATCCTGCAAGCTGGCCTTCTTGATCCGCTGCTGCACCAGACTGCTGCTCTGATGCTGATCCAGGGCGGACATGGTGAAGCGGTTGCCATTGACGGTGGGTTTTGAGGTGTGTCCATTGGTCTGGGGTCTTGTCGCAGATACGGGAGTTTCATCCTGCTGCTGCTCGTCATTTTCATTCTCTAATTCCTCTTCATCCTCGCGTTGTCGTTTTACCTGCTTGTATGCCTGCTTCATTTCCTTAACATACTCCCTTCGGTCGTCATCGTCTGAAGAGGCTTCGTCACCGCTTTCATCCTTCGACTCGCCATCGCTCTTCTCAAAGCCAAACAGATCTTCGTCGTTGTCGCTTTCCTCGCGCTGCTTGGCCTCGTCGGCATGCAACTCCGCCACATGAGCCACTTCCACGCGCTTCTTAAGTTCCTTTGCCTTCGATTTATCCAGACGATTCAGCACAGGAGCCAGCAGACGATACTCCTCGGCAGATTTGTTAACTGCAAAGTCAGCGTTCTCGAACATGGCCTTGAAACGCGAATCCTCAAGAAGGTTGGGTACGTTGCGCTGCTTGCTACTGTTCGAGGGATTAGCCTGTTCGTCCATAATCTTGAGGGCCAACTCTTTGTTGACCTTAGGCAGCTTGGATTCAATTTGCAGGCGCGACTTGCGCTCGCTTTCGATTTCTTGGCGGATCTTGTCCTTGCGGAAGCGATCGAAGGCGAAGGGTTCCACCACAGCCTTGGCTTTGTTGTATAGTCTTGCGTCCATAAAGTACCTAAAAGAGATTTAAAGGGGTTAAATAATACTTTAAGCTGCTAGTATAATATTCAAACTTACCCATGCATGTAACCCTTAAGCAAATTGCTGCCAACGAGATGCTCCATGCCCAGTTCCGCCAACTCCTTGGCTGTGACAAACTGGTAGTCATCGTAGACATTCTCCACAACCTCTGATTCGATCTCCTCGGTGAGGTTGTCCAGGAAGGAGCACCACCGCGGAGCTGGGCCCATGGCAGGCACGTAATAGGTCAGCATTTTCAGATCCTCCTGGGCCACGAAGAACATACCCGTGTCGGGAATGGTGCAGAAATCGTTGAAAGACGTGGTTGATTCAACGTAGGCGATCTGCTTGCCCGTCTGCTCGTCCCACAACTTCAGCGTAGCCTCATCCAAGCTGTAGACGGCATTCTGGGCAGGATTGAAAGCCAAACGCTTGATGGGCAGTTGATTAAGATGGTTCTTCACTAGCAGCGGCTGCTTGGCGCGTATATCGTAGATCAGCACATGCCCCGAAGCAGTTCCCACTCCCATGTGCAAGCCATTCCGGAATTTGAGTGCCGTCACCGAGGGAAACTCCTTGACGCATGGCAACTTCATGGCCACGTCCAGGGTGGAACAGCGCTGCTTGGTGCGCGGGTCCCAGGCCTCTACGATGCCTTCTTTGGTGCCCGCCAGCAGGAGGTGGTGCTCGGGATTCACATCGCAGGCATTCAGGCAGCTGGCATCCGTTTCAAAGGGCTGCAGGAACTGTCCGCGCTCTAAGTTCAGCCGGTAAATGTCCTGCCAATAAAGTGTTCAGTATGGGGAAGTACCTAAATGAAGACCGGTACTCACCCTGCCCACACCCACGATGAACATGTCGCAGCTGGGCTTGTGGTACTTCATGTCCCGCCCGAATCGCGGAATCCTCAACCTGTAGTGGCGTCCGTGGGCCGCGTGGATCTCCACGAAGCGGTCGCACTGCAGGAACACCATCTTGCTGTAGTCCTCGCTAATCACCTCGAAGGTGGTCACCTCGGAGTCGAAGCAGCGTTCGAATTTAATGGACAAGTTGGACACCTCGAAGCACTTGACGCGCGGTTTGTATGTGCCTGTAGCCAGGATGTACTGCTGGTCGGGACTCATGCGGATGCTGGTGCACACGCCGGGCATGTCAAAGTCTTGGATGAGCTCGATCTGTCGCCGGGAGTCCACCTTTTTCATCAGCTGCGACCTCTTGCGCCGATCGGTGAGCCACTGTGGCGAAGAAATCCTTAGTTCATATGTTTTAAGAAGGAATTATCGCGGTACTTACATCTGGCACCGATTTGCCGGCGCTCAGGTTGTAGATCTTCACATCGTTAACTTCGTTTACGAACATCTTGACCGCAATTTGTGAAGTGCTGCAACATAAACACGCCAACACGTGCGCCTTTAGAGATGGACTATTCACAAGCGATACTGCCGATCTATCGATTGTTTGTGCTTGCGATAATAGGGTATAACCGTTCGCTCGCAGACTTATCAGTGTGACCGCAGAAAACAAAGCAAAACAAGAGAACGCAAAAAGTGTCTACTGATTTTCAATTCGATTTTGCCAATTGAAAATAATTGCAATAATAGCCCTTCGGTGAGGTCCCGCCCCCTCGAAGAAAGTGTGTGTGATAGCACGCGACTGAGCTGCATTTTATATTGCCAAATTGGCATATATTTGCACTTGAATTCCGCCCAACAAACAACAATACGCACACAGACACATACACATCCCCCCGCTCTTCGTAACCGCCCTACATTCCGCATTCCTTCCGCTCCCTAAAAGTGATCTAAACAACGTACTAAAACGGTGAGTAATATTCGTCGTTTTTTCTTTAAGCCAATTAAAGACTGATTAAATTACACGAAATGGAAATGCATCTGCAAGAAGGGTGACGCAGTGCTTCAGTGGGTGCTCACAAAACTTTCCCCGTGTACTCGCTCTCTCTTGTTTTTGTTGTTAGGCAGCCCCACTCCATTGTTGTTGTATACACCCCCTGAATGCTATAATACCCTTAAGTAGAGTCCTTTAATTTTGATTTAGCATTTCTGTTACCCTGTAGAAGGGTAAAAAAACTATGATTAAAACATGCACATCAGCAAAAGGGTTTTCCCATAATATACAGTTTTTAGATCTTAGGAATAATTGTTGTTAATCATAATTAACTTATTTTTTGTTACAATTGTTATGGAACTAGGACTTTTATTGAGATTTACTAGCTTTCAAGGACATAAACTACAAAAATAATGGATGTACATATTTATATTTACTTACATATGTACATACTTATATAGGAAATCAATAGGTTAAGTGCGGGCAGAGCGAAACCGAAAGTTTATTTAAAACCGACTTCAATCTTATCTCCCAGCTGAAGCTTCTACAAAAATGTTTTGGAAGCCTGAATGGAATTCCATCATAAAGTGAGCAATTTTCTAAGAATTCTTTGTCACTAATTTTTGTTTTCTTCTTTATTCAATTTTTTGGGTAGCTTTATTGGGGATGATTTTTAAGCTTATTGTTCCAAGAAAATAAATCCGAAACTGTAGTAAAAATATGAAAAACAATTAAAAAGGCATTTTTTTTCGAATTTCTTGGAATTTTGTCTGTATCTACCTAAATATGCTAAAAGGGTATAAAAACGTCTGCGCTACTTTCCTTTCTAGTTTTTTTCGCCTTGTTATGGGTGCGCCTTTGTGTTTCTTTTATAAGGGGGGTGAGATGATCCACTTCTATTCAACGCAATTTGCAAATAAGTATGTGCAAGCTCGAGGATTCCGCCTCCATTGAATGCTCCACTGATGTGATGTGTGGCCTCTGGCACTTGACTGATAAGACTCGAGACCGAGACCTACTGGCTAATCGTAATTGGTTGCCGGAGAGTCTATAAAATTGATATTTCTTGGCAGTTTGACAAGCAATGAAAGGTGATTAAAGCTTATATTTATCAAATCGATATTTATGGGGGGAATTATTTTTTGACAAGATTTATAAGATATTATAATTAAGTTACTCATTAGTATGCGATGCTATCAAGAACTGTTACTAAGTTGTATTCATTTTAAAAATATGTATGACTTTTATTGATCTTCATTAAAGTAATCACCGTGTAATGAAATACAAAAGTCACTATTGCTAAAGATATTCTTTTAATAAAAGCAAAACAAAGATTTCATTTAATGGAAACTGTTCTCACATCCACTCGCTTCTAAATCAGCAAATGTTTATATTTATGGAATAATCAATTAGCTATTCTTCAATGAATGAGTTTACTGCAAAAGCCATCCGTTTGAATAATTGAATTCCCACGATTACTCGACGGCCTTGCGCCTAATTCCTTGCGACCTGAGTGAAGGGTTCGCTTCACTCACTCAAGCTCCCTCAATTGCGGCCCAAATCAAAGGCTCTCGAGCGATAGTGATACTCTGAAAACCCAAAGTCAAGTGGTATGGAGGGTTTTTACCCGCCACTCTTGAAACATCAGTTGGCTCTTTTTATTATTGTGGACTCCAGTTGGCATATAAACAAACTTGGTCGGCTGTTCAAACACAAGCATGCCTTAAAAAAGAAATATCGGGGCCAGTTCGAAAAAGGGGAACAAAATGTGGAGCCGAGGCAGAACAAATTAATGCAGCGCCACAGTTTGTTGATAAGCAGCGCCAATGGTTGGACATTCAAATGCGCACCTTACATCGTGATAGACAACCTTTTGTTTGGGTCATAGTTCATTGCCGTGCATGTCAAGATGAGCAAAGTGCGCAGTGTGGTGAATAGGCTGCACGAACGTATAGACTATCTCATCGAAAAATGTGAAAATTACCATCATAGAATATTCAAAATAATACTAATAGTACTGATTGCCTTTTAGGTCCCAACATGACTGCAGCACCGTACAATTACAATTACATCTTCAAGTACATCATCATCGGTGACATGGGCGTGGGCAAATCTTGCCTGCTCCACCAGTTCACCGAGAAGAAATGTGAGTATCGCCCAAAATAAGATCAGATAGGAACTAACCTTGTGATTTAACATTCTAGTCATGGCCAATTGTCCGCACACGATTGGCGTGGAGTTTGGCACACGCATCATCGAGGTGGACGACAAAAAGATCAAGCTACAGATCTGGGACACAGCGGGCCAGGAGCGGTTCCGGGCTGTTACACGCTCCTATTACAGGGGAGCAGCAGGTGCTCTGATGGTCTACGATATTACCAGACGGTGAGCTTTGATAGTTTTTATTATTTGAATATCTAAACCTGACATTTTAAACCTTCACCATTTCAGCTCGACATACAATCATCTGAGCAGCTGGCTCACCGACACTCGCAATCTCACCAACCCCAGCACTGTGATCTTTCTCATTGGCAACAAGTCCGATCTGGAGAGCACTCGCGAGGTCACCTACGAGGAGGCCAAGGAGTTTGCCGATGAGAACGGTCTCATGTTTCTCGAAGCAAGTGCTATGACGTGAGTATTGCATTGGCTTTTCAGATTCTTTCTCTACTTGAACAAGATTCTTATATATTAAAAGGCTTTGGTGTCATAAGACAAAAAAAACGATTTCGTTAATTTTTTTATTATTACATCGTTGGTTGAGGAATAAATCTCCTATTTTTAAATTATGAACAAGATACTAACTCAAATTTGTTCCAAACAGTGGCCAGAATGTGGAGGAGGCTTTTCTCGAAACCGCTCGAAAGATTTACCAGAATATCCAGGAGGGGCGACTCGATTTGAACGCCTCCGAGTCCGGAGTTCAGCACCGACCGTCGCAGCCTTCGCGAACATCGCTGAGCAACGAGGCTACGGGCGCCAAGGATCAGTGCTCGTGCTAAATGGATGCACCTTAACTTTACACAACCCTAGATATACAAATCAACTTTTATTTTTAGCCGACTCGTAATCTACAAGAGCCCAAGCAAAAACCAATGTATGTAGTTGAATGATTTGATTAAGCATAAATGTGAGAGCCAGCAACAGCGACAGCAACCACAAAAACCAAAATATTAAAGCCCTCCCCGATAATAAGACACAACCACTTCAACATTTATAATATCGAGTAAGCGTAATTATTAGATAATTGAACACGTTTGTTGGTTAGTGCGAATAATTCTCACGCATCGTTAGAGGAACCAAAGTTTTGACTATGAAATTTCGAAAAGTTTATCGCTCTATTCTAAACACCAACACTCGTTTGGCCCCAAAATATAGCTAAATGCGTTTAATAAACCATGTTTTCTGTTGACTGTATCTTTGTATATATATGAATTTTTGTATCTCCTTTTATCAATAATTTTTTGTTGAATATTTGTTGTAGTCGCAAGCAAAGTCGGGAGAAAACGATCAATGTTATATGAATATTAACGATGTATTAATGGCATAATGCAATAGGAAATAAATAAAACGGTATTTATAAAGCCCCTACCAAATGAATTTGTTATTCAAATATATTGAAAATCATTGCTGGGCTTATGTTTATTTATATTAAAAATTCTTCTTACGTTTTTATTTGTTCTGTGCAATAGTGCAAAGAATGCGGTTCGACCTTTTATTTGCAACACTGTAACTAAAAGTGGCAGCATCAATAGTAACGAATAAACATCAATCTTTTTCCAAGATTAGGTGTTTCCAAAAGATTAGTTGGTTTTGGTCCAGTTTGGGAGAATTTTAGGGGAAAATACTTTGTGTTAAGTGATTTATTTTCAGGAACTTCGATGAACGAAAACTTCTCATTTTTCCAAACAACTTTTAAGCATGCCACAAATATGTATAATATAAATTAAGAGAAACAATATCCATTATTTCTGCCAACTGCTTTTCTCATTGTAACTATTTTCACAACTTCATTATGAGATTTTATTTTTTTTAAATATTTAAAAATGCGCGCGCGTTTGAAAGTAAAGGGATTTTTTAGTAGGAATTCCTAGTTGGTCAAAGCTATTGTTTTGCCAGCTGGTAACACTGTGCTGAAATGCAAATTAAAATTAATTTATTTCGGTTATCATGCAAGTGACGAAATAGCTATTTGAGTGGCCAGCGAAAGGGGCAACGTAACCGAATCTCGACTCCCGACACTCCACTCTCGACCCATGATGCAAATCAAGCGACTCCTGTGCAAGTCCTGTGGCCTGGGCACCCTTTTGGTGGCGGTCGTGTGGCTGCTGGCGCTCCTTTTTTACTCGCACAGCTTGAGAAGCTCCATCCGCTCGGCAGGATGGAAGATCGAGGAAAGGAACGCGACGCCGCGGGCGGAGTTGAGCTACCAGGCCAGGGTCACAATCGGATGCACTCCGACCGCCGACAAAAACGGCACAGCAGCCAGGGAATCTCCTCCGGGAGCTCAACCCAATCTGCAGAGTGATCCCGAGCAATTGGAACTGCTGGGCGTGGTGCGCAACAAGCAGGACAAGTACATCCGGGACATAGGCTACAAGCATCACGCCTTCAACGCTCTGGTGTCCAATAACATTGGACTCTTCCGGCCGATTCCTGACACTCGGCACAAGGTGTGCGATCGCCAGGAGACCTCCGAGGACGAGAACCTTCCCCAGGCCTCCATAGTCATGTGCTTCTACAACGAACACAAGATGACCCTGATGCGGTCCATTAAAACAGTGCTGGAGCGCACGCCTAGCTACCTCCTACGGGAGATTGTCCTCGTGGACGACCACAGCGATCTGCCGGAGCTGGAGTTCCATTTGCATGGCGATCTTCGTGCCCGCCTCAAGTACGACAATCTGCGGTACATCAAAAACGAGCAGCGTGAGGGTCTCATTCGATCCCGGGTGATTGGAGCCCGCGAGGCGGTCGGCGATGTCCTGGTCTTCCTGGACTCGCACATCGAGGTCAACCAGCAGTGGCTGGAGCCGCTGTTGCGCCTCATCAAGGCCGAGAATGCCACTCTGGCCGTGCCCGTCATCGATCTGATCAACGCCGACACCTTCGAGTACACGCCCAGTCCGCTGGTGCGCGGAGGATTCAACTGGGGCCTGCACTTCCGCTGGGAGAACCTTCCCGAGGGCACACTCAATGTGCCGGAGGACTTTCGCGGTCCCTTCCGCTCGCCCACCATGGCTGGCGGTCTGTTCGCGGTGAACCGGAAGTACTTCCAGCACCTGGGCGAGTACGACATGGCCATGGATATTTGGGGTGGCGAGAATATCGAGATCTCGTTCCGAGCCTGGCAGTGTGGTGGCGCCATCAAGATCGTGCCTTGCTCTCGTGTGGGTCACATATTCCGGAAGCGCCGACCGTACACATCACCGGATGGAGCAAACACCATGTTGAAGAACTCGCTGCGGTTGGCTCACGTCTGGATGGATCAGTACAAGGAGTACTATCTGAAGCACGAGAAGGTGCCCAAGGGCTATGATTACGGGGACATAAGCGAACGACTAAATCTCAGGGAGCGGCTTCAGTGCCGAGATTTCGGCTGGTACATGAAGAACGTCTATCCGGAGCTGCATGTGCCGGGTGACGAGTCCAAGAAGTCGGCGGCAGCACCCATGTTCCAGCCTTGGCACTCGCGCAAGAGAAACTATGTGGACACATACCAGATGCGTCTGGCGGAAACGGAGCTCTGCGCCGCCGTGGTGGCGCCCAAGGTGAAGGGTTTCTGGAAAAAGGGAAGCTCCCTGCAACTGCAGCCCTGCCAGAGGACGCCCAACCAGCTGTGGTACGAAACCGAGAAGGCCGAGATCGTGCTGGACAAGCTTCTGTGCCTGGAGGCGTCTGGAGATGCCCAGGTCACGGTGAACAAGTGCCACGAGATGCTGGGGGATCAGCAGTGGCGGCACACCCGCACCGCCAACAGTCCCGTCTACAACATGGCCAAGGGCACCTGCCTGCGGGCGGCTGCTCCGGCGGCGGGCGCCCTCATCAGCCTGGATCTGTGCTCCAAGACGAGCGGAGTGGGCGGAGCCTGGGACATTGTCCAGCTCAAGAAGGCGAAGGAGGAGGACAAGGCCAAGAAGGCGGACAAAGCGCTGTGAGCGGGATGACCTGCTGGCGTATTGCAATATTAGACTGATAACTGTTTAGGGCAAAAGTGTATTATGTTCAAATAGCCAGTATTTATACCCGTTACTCGTAGAGTAAAAGGGTATATTGTATTCGTGCAAAAGTATGTAACAGCTAGAAGGAAGCGTTTCCGACCCTATAAAGTATATATATTCTTGATCAGGGTCACTAGCCGAGTCGATATAGCCATGTCCGTCTGTCCGTCTGTCTGTCCGTCTGTCCGTCTGTCCGTCTGTCCGTCTGTCTGTCCGTCTGTCTGTCCGTATGAACGCTGAGATCTCGGAAACTATAAAAGCTAGAAGATTGGCATTTTGCATGCAGATTCTAGGAGTTCCTACGCAGCGCAAGTTTGTTTCAAAAAGGTGCCACGCCCCCTTTAACGCCCACAATCGCATATATACGATTTTAAAAATTTAAATATTTCGGAAAAGTAAAAATGCAGTTTTATTGTGTTTATCAATACCTTTCGAAATGTAGAAGAAATTTTTCAAATCGGACCATTCGTTAAAAAGTTATGCGTGATCAAAGTTTCTATCTCCATCTCCCTCGCACTCCCTTTACCTGAGTAACGGGTATCTGATAGTCGGGGCACCCGACTATAGCGTTCTCTCTTGTTTTTCATGAAATTTTTTAATAAAATGTAGAAAACAAAATATTAATATTAAGTTATTACCAACACAAGGTCGGATGTCGAATTCGATTTACAATTAAATCTTAAACGCGACTTTATGAGCAGCTGCAGCAGAAACAGGTTTTTTCAAATAATAGTTAAAATTATATTTTATTTCCGCATGTCTCCAATTGATGATGACACATATTTTAAGCTGTTTAATATTTAAACCCAGCTTAACTTACCATCTTATATAATTAAATTGCATATGTATATACATATCTAGATGTACATTATCGAGATAAATATTCAACCTTCTTAACCTTTTTTGAGATATAAATTCTTATTTTAACCTTTGATCATTACTTGTTTTTAAAAGACCAGCTTGCTTTCAAAGTAATTAAAAATATTCGCTTTTACACTGTATATTTTATAATATAAATTTATAAATATATATATAGCTTAAAGTAATTTTTAAATCACTTTCGTTGATGAAAAATCATGTAAAATTGTATTAAATAAATCATTACATAAATCTTGTTGGCATTCAATTTTCAAAATTAAATTCTGTGTTTAATGACTTTCTTATTTTTGAAAGGTAAAATATAAAATGTTATAGTTCCGGAAATTAAATTAAGAAATATTAGTTTAATTTGTAAGTTTGAGAAACCCGAATTCTTTATTTTAAAAAAAACTGTGTATAATTTAAAATCCGACTAAAAGAAATTTTTAGTCGGATTGCGCAAAAATGAAATTTATTTTAAAAAATAATTGCCGTTTCGATAGCAAGTTAAGCAAACAAACAACCTTTGTGGAATGGCTACATGATCATTTTTCTGAAGGAAAACATTTCAAGAGATATTATTTTCAGTGTAATACTTCCGTCGTAATCAAATTTCGGTATTTTTTAATCTGAAGTATTTTTTTTGGAGTCAAAGAGTATTTCTTAACGCGCTATTAAGGGTCACACTTAGTTTATGCTAAAAACAGGCGCCAATTTGTGTGATTTTTATAAACAATTTTAAAGGCAGAATCATGCAGGCCAAAGCAACTGACAGCCGGCAGGAACCAACGTTGCATTTGGGTGAGTTAATAACAAATGTTAACAAATATAAAGGTGTCTTAATTTGATTGCATTTTGTAGACACAAATGCGCGTCGCAATTTTATCAAATTCCATGCGAAACTTGGCGAGGTGAGTAAAGTGAAGTCTATAAAAATCCGGTTAAACTGCATTCTACGGCACTACTTTGCAGAAACCCGGGACCACAGTGCGGTTCTTCGACCACTCCGACTGCTATACGGTCCATGGCACCGATGACTGCGAATTGGTGGCCAAAATCGTGTACAAATCCACGGCGTACATTGGCGCACTGCTGAAGGAGGACAAGGACTCGCTCCAGTTTGTGTCCATGTCCAAGGGCAACTTTGAGCTGGCTGTGCGCGAACTGCTCCTAGTGCGGAATTTCCGGGTGGAAGTCTATGTGAAGAAATCCAGCGACTGGGAAATCGAGTACCGCGGCTCTCCCGGCAATCTGTTGCAGTTCGAGGACATTCTGTTCGTTAACAAGGAGGTTCTGGTTGGCAACAGCATCATCTCGTTGCTGGTCAAACTGGAGGGAGGTGGCCAGCGCCGGGTAGGCGTGGCCAGTGTAGAGCAGAACGACTGCAAGTTCCAGCTGCTCGAGTTCCTCGACGACGACTTCTTCACCGAACTGGAAGCCACCGTGGTGCTTCTCGGACCCAAGGAATGTCTGCTGCCCAGTTCGGAGGGCGACTATGCAGCCGTGAAGACACTACTCGAACGGAACGGCGTCATGATCACAGTGCCCAAGAAGAACAGCTCCAATGATCTGCTGCAGGATCTTAATCGTCTACTGCGCTTCGCCAAGGGGCAACAGGAGGATGCCACAGGCTTGAAGGAGCTCCAACTGCAGTTGGCCTCCAACGCCCTAAAGTCGGCAATCAAGTACCTGGACCTCGTCAACGACGCTGGCAACCTGGGACACTACGAGATCAAGCAACTGGACCTTAATCGGTGAGTAAAAAGTGTTTTTATAAGCCTTAATTCTTAATGAACTTATTTACCAAGTGTTCATCGGTTTTCCCATTATTTATGTTAGGAGGGATGCACACTTTATCTTGTCTTTATATCTAAGCAGATGCTTGATTAGTCACTGCATTTATTTTCTATGATATATATAGAACACAAAGAGCCGATTGATTAAAAAACCTGTATTGAAATAACTAATATAAACTGAAACCAAATATTTCTTTACAGATTTGTCCACCTAGACTCGGCTGCCGTGGCTGCATTGAACATCTTGCCCAAGCCGGGCACCCATCCGTCCATGCCCTCGTATCGCTGGCAAAGCATTATGGGGGTGTTGGACCATTGTCGAACGCCGCAGGGTCATCGCCTGATGGGACAGTGGGTTAAGCAGCCACTGCGAAGCCGAGATGTCCTGAATGATCGCCACAATATCGTGCAGTGCCTTCTCGAATCGCCGGATACAATGGAGACGCTTAGCCTGGATTATCTTAAGCGCATTCCGGATATTCTGATGTTGACAAAGAAGTTGATGCGTCGCAAGGCAAATTTGCAGGATTTATTCCGCATCTACCAGGTCATTCTGCGGACACCAAAGATTCTGAAACTCCTGCTCGAGCTTCAGAACTCAACGATAGAGAGTGTGATCTCTACGCCGTTTAGAAGCTTCCTAGAGGATTTGACGGGTCTCAAGCAGATGGTCGAGCAGGTGGTTGACTTTGAGGCCATCGAAAGGGGCGAGTATCTGGTGAAGGCTTCGTTTGACAGTCGACTGATGGAGCTGCAGCAGACCATGACAGCGCTTTACTCGAAAATGGAACGGTTGCAGGCCAACTGCAGCAAGGAATTGGATTTGGATGGGAAGAATCAGGTGAAGCTGGAAAATGTGGCGAAGCTGGGTCACCATTTCCGTATCACAGTAAAGGATGATTCCGTGCTGCGCAAGAACAAGAACTACCGCATTGTGGATGTAATTAAGGGCGGTGTTCGCTTTACATCCGATTCGTTGGAATCCTATGCCGAAGAGTTTGGTAGCTGCCGTACTCGCTACGAGGAACAACAACTGTCCATTGTGGAGGAGATCATTCAGGTGGCTGTGGGATATGCAGCCCCACTAACGTCACTTAACAACGAGCTTGCTCAGCTAGACTGTTTGGTCAGCTTTGCTATCGCCGCCCGCAGTGCGCCCACTCCTTATGTGCGACCCAAAATGCTTGAGGAGGGTGCCCGCGAATTAGTTCTCCAGGATGTGCGTCATCCCTGCTTGGAGCTGCAGGAGCATGTCAGCTTCATCGCTAACAGTGTGGACTTTAAAAAAGGTAAGACCAAATTAAATATTTTACGCATATAATTTCATATCATAATTTTGATTCAGAGAAATGCAACATGTTTATCATCACGGGACCAAACATGGGTGGAAAGAGCACTTACATACGTTCTGTGGGCACTGCTGTGCTAATGGCCCATGTCGGTGCTTTTGTGCCCTGCAGCTTGGCCACAATCAGCATGGTGGACTCCATCCTTGGAAGAGTTGGAGCTAGTGATAACATCATTAAGGGCTTGAGCACATTTATGGTGGAGATGATTGAAACAAGTGGGATAATAAGGGTAAGTAAAAAAGCGCAATATGCCAATATGCTTCAAAAGGGGTTTAAAATTCTATGCCACCAAGAACACAACATTTGATTTAGTTAACTCTCAACTGATTTTAAAATTGAAAATAAACCAAAAGCAGTAGCAGTCAGATTTAATAAAAAAAAATGTACAACTATTTCCTTTTTCAGACTGCTACTGAAAAATCCTTGGTGATCATTGATGAACTAGGTCGTGGCACTTCAACCTACGAGGGTTGTGGCATCGCCTGGTCCATCGCCGAACATCTGGCCAAAGAGACCAAGTGCTTCACTTTGTTCGCCACTCATTTCCATGAGATCACTAAGCTGGCAGAGTCTCTGCCCACGGTTAAGAACTGCCACATGGCTGCAGTGGCGGATGCTGATAACTTCACTCTGCTGTACCAAGTGCGACCAGGGGTAATGGAGAAGAGCTTTGGCATTCAGGTGGCGCGATTGGCAAATTTTCCCGAGCATGTCGTCCAGAACGCGCAAGAGGTGTACAATGAGTTTGAGGACGAACATGCGGACAAGCAGAAAAAGGAGGATAAAGCGCTGCTAGATAAGATCCAAGTGGCCATTCAACAGCTGTCAACAGCCGGGAATAACGTGGATATTAACGTGGAGGACTTGACCCAGCTGGTCACGAAGTTTACAAAGGACATCGAAAAGCTGGATAGCGATTATTTCAAATCCGTGCTGGCCACTAGTGAGGCTTAAGTGAAAAAGAAAGGTGAACAATTTTTTTTATCAGGTAGTATTACTTACAGAGGCAGCATGGGGGATATACACACATTTATACGTTTTCCTCTCCAATACTCATTTTTCGAATATGCTTTCATTAGTTTTCATCATAATTTTCATTACATAAATTAACTTGAACATTAATTTTCCTGGTTGCAAACCATATTCTTGCTCTGCCAAACAAAATAGGCTATTGCTGGTTAATATTACATATATCTTCCATCGTTAAGTAAACATTTATAATAAGAGCAATCAACTCTAGGAGCTGATGATTGTTTTTTAACTTGAGGCAAATATTCCCATATCATTTACACTTTAATAAATAAACGGCATTACAAATAAATACATAGACATATGTATAAAAATCCCGATCACAATATTAACTCCAAATTATTAAGGGCGGCAGCATAGTTGTTAGTATCTGAGATGAATTTCAGTTTTTCAACACATTTTTTTTAAATATATATTTTTTAAAGTATATTTTTATGGCTAATTGTATTATTTCATATGAATTGGAAGGTTCGTTTCCACCACCGAGAGGTAAAAAATTTGTAAGATGAATCAGCAGCGCTAGACGTTAATCTAATTCATGTTCCACAACCGTCACATGATTTGGAAACACGGTGATTTGTGTGTTACTTATAGCGCTATTTCTTCGGCTCGATGGCCAGTCACATTGAACACGCTTTTTAACACAGCGCAAACTACAAAATACAGGCCTGACAAACTGTCAATTTAATCGGCCGGGTTTTAACCTCAGTTGTCAGTTGGGCCAAAGCGCCGCCGTTCCGTTGGCCCGATCTTTAGCTCGACTGTCATTTCCAAATTCAACTTAAGTGCTGTCAAAAGATAATTACCGTTTCGGCTTTGATTTTTCTTACCTTTTTTACTCTGAGACAACTAAATGACAACAGCTCTCTGAAAGGCCTAAAC